TCCACAAAAAGTCCATGTTCTATGACACACGACCAAACAAACTTTTAGGTGGCCACAGATTCTCAGTATTTTACAAAACATTCTGTCCAGTCCATCTTGTCTCCTATTACGCAGCAAACTTATAAAGAAGTCAAAAGGATGCTACAGTTCAGAAAAATTCCTTTAAAAAGTAGTGATGATACTGCAGTTTCTAATATATAGATAAAAATCACACTTAAACCATTTTGTAGATGATTATCTGTGGGTACAAAAGATAAATAACTAGACCTTGGGTATTAAAACTTTCATTAAACTCATTTCTACTCTACTTCTCATTTAAGTACCTCATTAAGTATTCACTCATTAGCAATACAGGATGCTTTCTATGCCACATCACTCTCGTTTTTTTTTTTTTAAAGTTAACAAAGAGCATTTCAAAACACAACTCTTGCTTTCAGAAATATTCTAACATTAAGTTAAAAAAGAAAATCAAGGTTAAAAGTGTTCTTGTAACTTGTGTCAAAGATGCTAAATAAATTCAGAATACACAACTGCCCAGACTACATCTTTCAAAATATTGTTTTGCCTGTGTTAAAAGGACAAAACCTAAACCTCTAGGGCCATTATTTCTGTGACACAAGTTTAAGCATAGTTTGACAAATTATGAAACTTCTGTATGCATTAGGACATTTGTAGTTCTCATAACTGAAAAATTCTCTACCAAATTACCAATGCACTTTTCACTATTCATTTCTCAATTCGAAGAACACATATTAACAGTGTCAGTAAACTAAAATCTTTTACATTTTCACATGGATTATACAAATGCTGGTAGTGGTATCGTTTCTAGCAATTCTTACCTGACTTTCGTTTTCTTTCTCTTGACCTTGACCGTGATCTTGAATAATGATGTTTTGAGGCTCTAGGAGAAACAGATACATCAGACTGCTCTTTTTTCTTATCTGTATCTGGGGATGTTTTTTCTGGGGCTAGTCCATCTCGTTCTGCGTCACTAGCCTACAAGTTCAAAGAAAAATCTTCGTAAATTCTTAATTGCTTTTAAATGTTTTCAATTTCTTAAAAGAGAGGGGGAGGAAAGACACTTATCCTTGGGTTTTACACAACTGAAAAAAGAAAATCAAGTAACAGAACAGCTGATTTCCAAGTGGCTAAATATGTTTTGTACTTGGTAAGTCTGAGTAAACTGAAATGACTAACCCAATACCAAACAGACGTATGTAACTTGGTGAATTTTTTAAATCATTTTTACATCTTTCAAAACAATGAGGAAGGGGAAAAGAAGGGTCCAACTATTTCCAATAAATATTTAAGCAGAGAAAAGAGTCTATTTTAGATCTCTGAGTTCATTTAGTTGCCTTAACTACATGGGCATACCTTAAAAAGTCATTTTAAATGAGCTGTGAAAGGTTAGAAAGACTGAGGACTGTGAAATCTCAAAAAGCAGAATGCTTCTAGAATATTATACAAGAACAAAAAAAACAACAGAAAATTAACTTACCTATCTGAGAACCCAATCTTAATTTCACTAAGCACCTTGGCACAGTGCTTCTCCAAGTCTGCCTCTCCTCACATATGCTCTGGGCTATGGAAACATTGTTTCTGCTTTAAAGCATTTTATAAGTTACACAATATAAACTTTAAAAATTGAAAGGAACAGTCAAGTGTACACTGTCTCTGAAAGGCCTGATTTACCTGAGAGAGTAGGGTCCTTCATTTAACTATCAGCTCTCTTTGTTTTCCCGTTTACAAAAGGGAACTTTTCTTTTAAAAAAAAAGGAAACTTCCTGTGCCTAGATCATGACATAGTCCTCAGCACAGAAATCAACCAATAAATGAAGAAACGAATTCCAGTTACTAGTTTTCCATTAAAAAAATGTATTTCTGTAAGAAATTAAGTAAGTCACAGGAGAAACTAGAACCTTAATGTTCTCAAGTCAGATACTGATAAAAGGCAGGGAAAACAGTTTCAGTATATGTGGAAGGTGGTGACCCATCTGCCCAGAGAAGGAATAGGAAAGAGTCAATACGCTAATATGCCTGAGAAGCTAATTATTTAGGGCATGAACTGCAAAGTATGGCCCCTAAGAATGACTTTTACATTTTTAAAAGGGCTGTTAAAACAAGCAAGCAAGAAATGTGACAAGAGACTGTATGTTGTATCTGATCCACAATGCCTAAAACATTTATCAACTTGCTCTTTACAGAAACAAATTTGGATTGGATAAATGGTGAATTACTATACATTTTTAGCAGAAGGAATAATCACATGATAATGAACTACTTCTCTTAGGAAAATTAGTCCAGAAAACAAACAGCAAGTAAACTAAATGGACAGTAATTTAACAAGTGAAGTTTGAGAGGCTGCATTATTTCACCAACTATTTTCTGAGGGTCAAAAATGCACCCAACTCACTCGATGCCAGACACTTCGGGAATAAACTAATAAATTTAAAGGGAGGGATTTACAGACTGGGTTAGGATGAAAGACATATTATGTTTTAAGCGTCTAACAATATTATCAAAAAACAAGAAACAAGTGGAAGCATATAACTACTGGGGAGGCTCATTCGAGCATACTTGTTTCTTTATGTATGGGTCGTATCTGGAGTCAGAAAACTTTTGTGCAGAAAGGCTCTCATCCCTTAGAATCAGACTCAACTTTCAATCCACAGATGGGATTCAGCAATATTAGCTGACTCACCAAAGAAGGTACTCTATCTCCTGTCTACTACTAATATATGATACTCTTAGCAAACAAAAGAGGATTCTGAAAGTCACACCAACACTGGTTATTTTCTTTTCTTCTTGTCCTCATCACTATTCTTAAGGATTGTTTCTAACAGGTTTATGATGTGCGATGTGCTGGTCAAGTTACACTGAATATAAAATAAAGCAACAGAAAAACTTAAGGCACTGCTATCTCTTCTCTCAGTGCATACCACTTTTCTGTCCAACTGAGACAGCATACCTGAAACCACTGGACATCTCACTCACTTCTACAGTTATCATGACTAGTTAAAAATCTTTCCATGGAAATGCCAGCATCTAGCCCAGTTCCTAAGTTTTCAGTCAATGGTTTATTTAACTACATGCTTAATATTAAGGAAGTCCAGCAATAGGGAAGCCAAATGTCCTTGACTTAAAGGAAGGCACTCTGTAACATGGAGTAATAACATATCAAACAGCCATTTTCATCTGTAAAATATATACAAGACGCCAACAAAAACCATCCCATCACTAAACAGATGAATAAGTGGCCACTTAGACCACCCTAAGCTTTTATGTCCTTTAGGATATTTTACAGTGGTTAAGATTTCAATTTAGTAAGTACCTGTATGTAAATCTCCATATGCTAACTGCAAAAATGCCCTTGACTCTAGCATTTGCTCTTTTAGAAAAACATCATGGTTTTTAAAAATTTACATCTTTAAAACCTCAATGACACTCAAGACACAATATAGGACTCTTTTCCCAGTGCCAAGAGAAACACACTGGACTTAATACTAGGCTACATCTCCAGGGGATCGCGTCTTTCTATGGAACAAGGCACTGAAGAAACAAATGTTTTTTAAATATCTGAGCTCAGGTAAAACAATATTCTTCCAAGTCACTATTTCAACAAAACACTAAATCGATTCTTTGCACAAATACCAAATAGCCTGCTGACTGTTTGAAAGTGGTTCTAAACCAATTACCAAAAAATCCAGTTCTAAATCAAATCGACTAGGAAAGGGGCAACAGGGAGGGGCAGATTAATGATTTCTAAAGCCAGATACTCCAAAGATTAGGCTGAGTAAACTACCAGTTTTTCAATATGTTTAATAATCCTATTTATTTTCGAAAGCGAGAAAACTTTTTAATCAGTGGAAAAGGATACAAAATGTTTGCATTTTTCTTTTAACCGGGTAGAGCAAAACGAAATATTCCCACAATAATGCGATCCATCTGGATTGGGTATCTTATATCCAAAGTAGGCTTATTTTACATTAGAGGTTAATTGAAAAATTGCATTTTCATTTAAAATTAAACGGGCCAATGAAGGACTCAAATTTAAAATAACGCCAATGATAGTGCTTGATTATGTTTCTCAAAGACCTCAAAACGGAGCATCATCAGTCCGAATTCGCAGTTTCAAAGTCTCCTAATTAAAACGAATTTCTACTCCCTTCCAGAAACTCGTTCCCTAGCTGCTTACTAAGGAATAAACTAAGGTTTGCGCAGACGCAACACTAATTGAAAATTTGCGATTAGAATTGTCTCATTGAGCGCAGGCAAAATGATCGCTCCTAGACTGCTCTCTTTTCGCGTTCGATCCCTTACAGGCACCGCCTTTCTGACCCAATACTTTTTCAGAGACGACCCCTGATCCCTTTTCTCTTTTCCCCAGCCCTCTCCACTGCGAACATAAATGCCCAAGCCTCAACGAAAATTCAATATAACCCACTAACTAGTGAGTAAGCTAAACTGCAGTCAGTCCTGTGGGCCAAAAGGAACAAAAAACTGGGAAAGAGACAGGAAAGTTCTGGAAAAAAAAAAAAAGACACTCCCTGCTGCTCCCCACCCCCAACAACAGCGCCTTATTTCCCCCTCCCTACAGCAGCCAGCCATGATGGCGGGCGCAGAAGAAGGCCAAGGCGCCATTTTGTCCACACACAAGCGCGGACAACAGCCCTGGAAGCCGCTTATCCCTTCTTTGGAGAGTAACAGAAAAATATCCATGATTTTAAACTCAAATTTGGCACCCACCGCCATAGTCCAGAGTCTTGGCCGCAACGGCGGCGCTTCCACTTGCCGCTTCCCACAGTACTGGCCGCTTCAACGCTTCGCCACAGACTGAATAGCTCGCGCCAGAGACCCGGATGGCACAAAGGGGAAAAGGCCCGGCGCACAGCACAGCTTGCTGGGAGGAAAGGGGGTGGGGATAAGAGTTTCTGTAGCAACGCGGTTAGATGGTGATTGGTTGTTCTTTTGAAGGAGCGCGTAAGGCTGGGAGAGGGCGGGGCCAAGGACGTACCACAGAATGCTCAGCATGGATATCAGAACTGGTGGAATTTAGGGTGGGGCGACTTCCTATTTCGCTTCTAGAGCAGTCTTGGCCTCCCCTAGTCGCCGTAGAAGGGGTTGGGCTTGGTGTTCTCCCGCCAATTTAAACCTGTGGCAAAGACCCTAAAGACCTTAGGAGCGGTTGTGGGCGCCCGGATGCGGGGGAGATGAATTTGAGTGTTCTTTAATTTCTTCAGTTGCAGGTGAGGAGGGGGAGCCACGCTACTGTAGGAGCTGGGGGGGCGGGGAGGGTGGCTTTAGGTCGAAACAGGAGAAACCTTAGCTCAGTTTGGGGTGTTTTCCCCTTGAGACGCCGGTGGGAGAGTGGTTGGAATCGTTTCTTTCTGGTCCGTGTCTAGCTGAGAGCACTTAAGCAAGGAGGCCTATTTGAAACTTTCGTTTAATTCGTTTATGTGTTCACTTAGCACCCAGAGTAATCTCAAACTTAATCACATCACGTCATTGGCCTACTTAGTATTTTTTCCACCCTAGCACTGAGGATGAAAGCCAGTCTTGTAATCAAGGATTCATTGGTTCCACCGGTTGGTTTAGCCCCCGCAGTTTCCCATTCTTCATATGGCCCCACAGCAGCCCCAAACTCATTCCACCCTCTTCATCTGTGATATTCGGCCTGCATCTTTGTCCCCCCTGAGCCTTGTATAGTTGCCTTGTCTTGTTATTTGGATCTCAGTTCAGTTGTCATCTCTTTCCCCTCCCAGATTTTTCTTAGGCGCCACCCCCAACCCCCCCCCATTCACTTGAGCATTATTTGTAGTTGTGCATTTACTTATTTTTTCGTAAGGAAGCAGTATAACAGTTAATAACTGGCATGAATTTGAATCTTGTCTAGCGACATCGTTAACTCATTTTAGGTGACCGTGGCCATTTACTTAGTCCTTGACTCATGCTTCTCAGCTGTAAAATAGGCTGTTGTGCATATTAAATGAGTAATACATTCAAACTATCTTGCCTAGTCAATACCGCATTTATTTTTGTCTGTCTTTCCTATGGGATATGAATTTCATAATGACAAAGACCTTTTCTGTCCTCTTCACAGATGTATTCCCAGCTCCTAGAACAGTGCCTGACACATAGTAGGCATTCAGTAAACGTTTGTCAAATGAATGTGCCATACCTGGGAGGCTGATAATATTTCTCTGTTCTTACAGATGTGGGACTCTGAAACTCAATAAAAGTATTTACTTCAGCCTGTCTTAATCTCCTCCCAATTCCTGCCCAAACACAGCCACTAGAATTATTGTCTATTCTAACATGCCTTGTTTTCGGGCCCTTGCTTACACTCCTAGTAAGAGCTCTTCCAATATTTAAAAAGCACCTGTAACCTTAAATACTAGCTCAAATGTTACCTTCTTCCACCAATACAGTAGTGGATTAGCTGCACTTAAAAGGGAGCGCTTGCCATGAAACCAAGCATTGATTCATGAACCTTTGAAACTGGTAGTGACGTTTCTGGCTATGTACAACTGTATTCCTATTTTATAGAAGAGAATTGAGGAACAGAAAGGTTACATTACTTTCTTGACCACAACAGGTTAATTTAAAATAGCCCTAAGTCAAAAATCATTTCTTTCCTGTACTATTACCGTCAAAGATTTAAAAAAATATCTCTGAGCAGTTAGCAAAAGAACTGAAACTATTTGGTTATTTTCCCCTCCAGTATTGATTCAAGCATTGCTTTTCATTTTAGTATTCTATGCCCAGGAGACCCAGTGAAGTGAGTTATTTAAGTCATTGCTGATGAAATAGTTAAGTGACTCCTAAGGTTACAGACACACTCTTTGGTCCAGTCAGAAGCCTGATCGTTTTTTTCCCACCTCTCCTTAACATTTTCATTTATGGTGTAACAGTCCTGGAAACATGAATGGACATGGTTTTTTAGGTTCGTCCGGAACCTTAACCAACCTAAGGTATCCCAGACGATATGCATTCAGAAACTTCACTGTTTTTTGCTATTCTGGTTAAAGTTTTTTTTTTTTTCCAAATGAAAGCTTGTTATAATTTCACCTAGGTATACAAAATACTAGAAACTCTAGGACACGTTGGTAAGATTGAAATTGTTTGCCTGTGACCCTAAACCAGTATGTTCTTCTCTAGTGATGGTCATAGTTCTAGTTCCATTTATCTTATTGATCCAAAGTGTCTAGTGACTGCAGAAATAACACAGAGAAGTCTCTGTTTATTGATGTGTATGTGTGTGTATATATATATACACATATATATATGGGCCTTTATATATATATATATATATATATGTATTTAATAAAGCCTTTTTATTTCCCAAGGAGCTGGAGTCTATGCAACAATGTAATTTGGTCTGATTTTACAGTTGTCATAGGGAAGGCAGTGATTCCTGAACAGGAAAACAATCTCAGAAGCATGTGGAATGATATTGAACTGCTAACAAATGATGATACAGGCAGTGGGTACCTAAGTGTTGGTTCAAGAAAAGAACACGGAACCGCTTTATATCAAGTAGATTTACTAGCAAAGATCTCCTCTGAAAAGGTAATGGTTATGTCGCTGTTTTCATTCACAAAATTTTTACTGTGTTTAGTAAGACTAGTAGCCATGTGGTGGTTGTTTTATAAATGAGTATAGTCCTTTCTCAGGGATTCCAAGTTTAGTGTCAAATTACTGGAAATTTCCATCTGAATTCCCCATACGTCATTTTAAGGTCAATATTCCAAACCTAAACTTTTCATAGCTCCTCTTGGCATTTTAGAAATACAGATGTATGCAGAAATGATACAAAGAATATCTACCACCAGCTTAGGAAGTAAAACATTACCTAGAATTGAAGCAAGCCCCTGGCGTCCCTCCCTGATCCCAAGCTCTTCTCATACTCCTACCACTGAGGTTGAGATTGTCCAATCCTTTCCATGAATTTCTCTCTATATTTTAACTTTCTTCTTTTAATGACTACTCCACCATTCTCACACCAGGCTTGAAACCTTATTCTCTGCCTTCTATGGAAAGTATTGCTGTTCGTTTTTTATCTTTGATTTTCTTTCTCAGTAATTTGCTTTTGATAAAATTTTGGTGATCGTGGTAAACAAAGGTTTCTTTTAGAGAAAGTACAAATGATCTTCTGTCCCAGTATTATAGCCCAGGATTCCTCTGCTTCTCATAGTAAGTTAATGTAATGTTTTAATTAGCTGATTAAGGAAAAAAGTTTTAAAAGGAGGAAAGACCAGACAAGATTTGTAGTTTTTAGAGCTAGAAAGGGAGGGCCTGAGTCTTTGGCAACATTGTTCATCAAAGGTTTCAAAATGTAGGCTTTTGACTTTTTCTTCAAAGGAGCATTAAACTGATAGAGGTTTTCAAAAAATCATTCTTTATGCAACTTGTGTCCTCTTGTCAGCCTGTCCTGCTTTATGGCATTTGTAAATCACAAATTTATATGGAATTTATAAATATTATGAATAATACAAATAAATTTTAGTCCTTGGTATTTATTTCTAAAAGGCAAGAGTGTAAAAATTACTGTAGGTTCTATAATGAGAAAATGGTATTTCTTTATTTTTTATTATTACCAGCAGCCTTAAAAGATGGAAGTGGCCCAGGCCCCTCTTGATCTTTGAGGGCTACTGTTGAAGAAGGATAGTATGTATTGAGCTTTGAGTTCAGTTAAGAACTAAAATTTCATCAGTTGTTAGCTTGGGGCATTACTTGTAGCAAATGCTGTGTTCACAACCCGTGCTTGCATTTGGTAACTCTTCTTAGGATTTTTCCTTAAAGTTAGACAGATAGGACACAGAAATAAAAGATACCTAGCTGTGCAAGTCAGTGTGTGCCAAATACCAAATGAATGGTACAGACAGGACATGTAGTAGGAGTTCAGAGAATGGAGAGCTCACTGTGGGTTGGGACAATCTAAGGAGCATTTCATAAACTAGCATCTGATTTGGGCCTTCAGAAAAAGAAGGGGAAATGAAAGCACAACTTAACCAAAATATGTGGAATGCAGCCAAATCAGTTCTTAGAGGGAAACTGCATGCATATATTAGAAAAGAAGAAAAATCTAAAGTCAATAATCTTAAGTTTTCAGTTAGGAAACTACAAAAAGAAAATGGACTTTCCTTGTGGTCCAGTGGTTAAGACTTTAATGCTCCCAATGCAGTGGGCACAGGTTCGATCCCTGGTGAGGAATTAAAATCCTGTTGCATGGTGTGGCAAAAAAAAAAAAAAAAATGTCTCAAGGTTCGCAATCCAGACAGAGAAAACAGCCTGGGTTAGAACCCTGGGAGGTGTAGCACAGTTTCTTCTTTGGTATAACTTTTCAGTTTGAAGAGGTTAAGAGTATAAGAGGAATCAGAATGTAGTTTTCAAGAATTACACCTGCAGGAGGTGGCCACTGAAACAGATATAATATGAACCGATTTAACGAGCATATGCTACAGGCTAGGTTCCCTTCCAAGCCCTGTGCTGTGCAGCGGCTCACTCGTCTCCGACACTTTGCAGCCCCATGGACTGCAGCATGCCAGGCTTCCCTGTCCTTCACTGTCTCCCCGAGTTTGCTCAAACTCGTGTCCGTTGAGTCAGTGATGCCATCCAACCATTTCATCCTCTGTCACCTGCTTCTCCTCTCCTTGATCTTTCCCAGCATCAGGATCTAAGCCCTTTATATGAATTAATTCATGATTCTCCAAACCAGCCAGTGTTGTAGGCATTATTATTATTGTTTCTGGTTTACTAGAGAGTTGAGGCATTTGCCTGAGATGACTTAGCTAGTAAGTGACAGCATTCTCAACCACTGAGCTGTCCAACTGCTTTAAGGTTCATATATGTGGGAACCTCTAATCAACAGAAGCTGCAACCTGGAGACTCATATTTGGCTTGCAGTGTTTTTTAAAATGTTGACTGAAAAAAAAAAAAGAAAAAAAAATGTTGACTGAGCTGCCAATATTTAAAATTTAGAATATTTCACATAAAGATGCAGATTTTCTTGGTAAATTGGAAGCTGTGGCCATGCCAGGGTCACATTTCCATGGGGCTTTCATTTTGCTGACTCTAGTTTCTGTAAGGCCTTGTGTCCTTCATTTCACAATACACCACAGCCCCCCTCCCTGTTGTAGCCCAGACACTGAGACTTTATGCCAATATTGGTTCATTCATTTGTGTTAACACCTGTTGGTTTCTCCAAGTGTAAGGTCGACCCTTAGGAAACAAAGGCTTGTACTTGGGAATCGTTTGCCCTGTGCTACGGAAGACAGAGGAGCCTGGCGTGCTGCAGCCCACAGGGTCACAAAGACCTGGACATGACTTTAAGACTGAGCAACAACAACAGAAGCAACCCTGGACTATTTCCCTGTTTCAGGTTCTGATGGGATTCAAGATATCATAGAAAGAAAAGCTTGGGGCTTCCCTGATGGTCCAGTGGCTGAGACTGTACGTTCCCAATGCAGTTCAATCCTTGGTCAGGGAACTAAATCCTATATGCTGCAACTCAGAGTTTGCATTCTACAACTAAAGACCCTGCATGCCACAAAAAGATCTAGGATCCTGTGTGCCACAACTAAGACATGGTGCAGCCAAATAAATAAATAAACATTAAAAAAAAAAGGAAAGCTTGGCTAAGCAGTTATATGGGCTCAAGAAAAGAGGCCTGTCAAGTGAAGTGTTAAACTTGGGTGCTTAGGACTGTGATGACATTGTTGATAACTATTGTTAAACGTGTATAAAAATGCTTTATTTTAGTCTTATTTTTCCCTCCCCCAGGCCTCATTAAATCCAAAAATACAAGCATTCAGCTTAAGTGATGGGTTTATTATTGTGGCAGATCAATCGGTGATACTGTTGGACAGTATTTGTCGATCTCTTCAGTTACATCTTATATTTGGTAAGTCTAATGTAATGCAGTAAACAAATTGGAAGTCAACTATATCTGGCTACCAATTTCTACAGCATTGCCTTTTCTTTACTCCATTATTTAGAAGACTTGAAATTAAACTGATTTTAAGAAATGAATCTTGAGTACCGTGTGCTGAGTATCAGGTGGAAAGGATACTGAGATGATCCTTTCTGTCAATAAGTCTAGGGAAAAGCATACTAGGAGAGCAACAGTTGATTTGCATGGTTTTTGTGTTAGTAGAAAACTGGGCTTCCCTGGTGGCTTAGCAGTAAAGAATCCGCCTGTAATGCAGGAGACTTGGTTTTGATCCCTGGGTCAGGAAGATCCCCTGGAGTAGGGCATGGCAACCCACTCCAGTACTGCCTGGAGAATCCCATGGACAGAGAAGCCTGGCGGGCTACAGTCCATGAGGTCACAGACTCAGACACGACTAAAGCAACTTAGCACACACACATGTTCGAGTTCCTGGATCTTGTGCATAATTTTAATACCATCAGGACATATTTGAATACTTCTAGCACTATAAATGTTTAAAAAGTGCTTATGAATGAATTCCTATTGCATTAAAGAGCTTTAAGTATGTATATGCAAATATGGACTTAACAGTAAACTAAGGGGCAAACAAGTCAGTGGTTTTGTTGGAAAATAGGTGAAAATATTGTGAAACTTTTTCTGAAATTTTGAGAGAAATTGAAGTGTTTGAGAACAGCTGGAAATTAATGATTAATTTTAAAACAGAACTTAGCTGGAAAGGAATCAGAAGGTATGCACGTGAGAACAAAATCTTGATCTCAACATGTAGGAGGAAAATCCATATTTTGTGGAATCTTAGCATATCTGCCCTGATGGGGCCACAGGATTCAGTTTCACCGATGGAAAGTGAGACTGTCTACATATAGTACTCTGTGTACAGATATTGCTAGTGACTAATTTTAGTTATAAATGATTTATGTTCTACTGCCTTTTGTCTTAGTCTTCCCCTTGCAGTCTTCACTTCCCACTGGCCTTCTTTCTGTTGTGCAGACAAAAGCTTTCTCACCTCCTTCAAATTTTTGTTCAGATCTAACCTTAACAAAGGGAGCTGTCCTGAGCACGCCAATTAATACCACATGGCTCTTTCGAGCTCTGTTTCCCTCTGTATAACCTTTGTTTGTGTCATATAATTAGAATGTTATGCTGACTGTTTATCATCTATTTCTGCCTTAGCATTTGAGTTCCATGAAGTTGGGACTCTTGGTAATATTCTCAGATATATACAAAAGGCCTTGAACAATGCTTAGCCTATATTCAGTGCTCAGCAAATATTTATTGACTAAGAGTCAGTAGCATTCCTTTTGACATTAATCACTACTTTCCTGAAATATTTAAAAGAAGCTTCTCAAATAGTTGACTTTAAATAACAAAATTTGCAATTCTTTGTATTGAAAATAAACATTTTTGGAGGAAGCTTGGCATAACTTGGATTTGAAATTTTCAGATACTGAAGTGGACGTCGTTGGCCTGTGTCAAGGAGGAAAGTTTCTTTTGGTTGGGGAGAGAAGTGGCAACTTACATCTTATTCATGTAACATCAAAGCTAACATTACTCACCAATGTAAGACCTTGTTACCTTGTTACCTTTTTCATCTCCATTATCTAAATTCTAAATTATCTCTTAGCTAAAAACTCTAGCAAAGCATTGCTTGATTTGTGTTTTAAATTAAAAGAGTAATGTTTCTTAACGTTGAATTTAAGAATCATAGCTTAGAAACTGAAAAAATGCATAACCTAAAAGTTGAGAATTATGTTTTATTGGGTGGACTTTCTGAGAACTTCAAGCCCGGGAGGCAGTCTCTCAAGATAGCTCTGAGGGACTGCTCTGAAGAAGTAAGGGAGGAGCTAGGATATATAGGAGTTTTGCAAGACAGACCATATAGTCGGAACATCAAAAGAGTGCTGTTAACTAAAGAAAGTCAGGTATCTCAGGTTAATGAATTTGATGTTTTCTGTGTATGGGAAGATGCACGAGTGGGCTCACTCAAATCATTCCTTTGATATATGCACCTTTACTATCCAGGGCCAGAGTCAGGTGCTTCCCCATCCAGAGTCCCCTTGGTGTACACTTGGGAGTAGCTGCCGTGGCTGAGGGCTGGCCAGTGGGCAGCCTGTTCATATCCATCCTGAGTTCCTTCATGGCTGGATGTGGCCACAGCATCCTTTGCTGAAATGGCAGGCAACATTTTTTAATCCACAAAACATATGACATAAGTGCAAAGCTGAAAAATTACAGTTTGAAGACTGTATACTTGTCCATAATAGTTTTCTATTTCAAGACTAAAATGTTTGGGATATAGGCAGAATTATCGCTAATGATAATTGATGACCCTCAAGTTTAAAGAAAATAATCTTTGATTGTATTTTTCTGGGTTTAATCTTATCACTTGATATTAATTTGTAATTAGGCTTTTGTTCAGAAAGCTAACGATGAAAATCAGTGTACTTACCGGAATCTTGTTATTGAGAAAGATAGTTCAAATGAGGGTAAGTTTTTAAATTTCTTTTTTAATATCTTCTTAATAATGTTCAGTCAAAAAATCAGATTTGTACTTAATATATTAGGTAAATTAATTTGTGCTAGGTGGCTCAGTTGGTAAAGAACCCACCTGCAGTGCAGGAGACCTGGGTTTGATCCCTGGGTTGGGAAGATTCCCTGGAGGAGGAAATGGCAGCCCACTGCAGTATTCTTGCCTGGAGAATCCCCATGGACAGAGGAGCCTGGCGGGCTACAGTCCATGAGGTCACAAAGAGTCGGACATGACTGAGTGACTAACAACTTACACGAAGTTAAACTTTTGGGGTGCAATTAATATTGTTTTAAAAAATAAGTTTATTTTAGATCTTTTCAGAGGCTTAAATGTTAACTCTTCTTAAATAATATATCCTAAACTTTTTACAGTTTTAAGAGTTCTATAGATAAAAGGATACATAATATTCTTTAAAAATGTTCTTATGGATTTTAGTGTATTTATTATACTTCTTTTTAACACATGTTAACTGGACTTTATTTTGATGTAGCTGAGATTATTATTTTCTGGTAAATGAAGTTTGGTTTATAAGTTTCAAAGAAGTAGTTTTGTTTTTGCAGATAATTTACCAACTCTTTATAAATAACTTTTATCTGTATTGCTACTATATTATTTGGTTATTAGACTTTAAGTGAGCAAATGGACATATTTTTAAGGTAGATCCAGACTCTGGTTTAAATTTTATATTGATGTGCCTTTTAAAAAAGCTGGCTTGATTTTATTTTAATAGATACCTATTATATGCTGCTTCTTACAAACAATGGACTTTTTTGTATTACGAACCTTCAGCTTGTAAAAATTCAACAAGGTAAGTAATGTAATATTTTCTTATTACTGATTTGAAGCAAATTTTTTTTGAGCAAAGGGCTCTTTTTTTAAATCAATAATTTTTTTTTTTTTTTTGAGTTGAGGTCTCTGCCACTGGCTTTATTTTATTTTATTTTTTCCATTTATTTTTATTAGTTGGAGGCTAATTACTTTACATCATTACAGTAGTTTTTGTTATACATTGAAATGAATTAGCCATGGTAAATCAATAATTTTATTTATTTTTTGTTGGCACTGTTACACTGTTGGTTTATTGTGTCTTCATTGCTGAGCATGTGCTTTCTCTACGTACAGAGCTCAGGAGTTCTGCTCTCCAGTTGTGATGTGCAGGCTGTTCATTGTTGTGGCTTCTTTTCCTGTGGAACACGGGCTGTAAGGGCGCATGGGCTTCAGTAGTCGCGGTTCCCGAGCTGTAGAGCGCAGGCTCAGCAGCTGCGGTGCACTGGCTTCGTGGCTTCTCGGTGTGCGCGGTCTTCCTAAACCAGGGATTGAACCTGCGTCTCCTGGATTGGCAGGCATATTCTTTACCACTGCGTCACCAGGGAAGCCGCACAGCAATATTTCTTATGAGTTTTCCAAGTAATTTTAATATACTCTCTTTGAGAATATTTTAGTGTACCTACATTCTTTGATACTGGGTATACTTTGAGTATTTGTAATGTACGTATTCTCCAAGTTAGGGCTGCAACAGAATCTGAAGAAATATTTATTTATAGCCTTCGACGACTTTACAACTTAGTCAGAGAGATGGGCGAGCATATGCTAGCATAGTAATAAATGCTTTTTGCTGGAATGAATGAACCTGTAAACTGAAATGGTTGTGTGTTAATAATACAGAGCAGTAATCTAGAGTGTGTTAGTGAATCCTGTGGATCTTATATCCCTCTGAACTAGCCGAGATTGAGGAATTGATTCCAGGTATGTATTCAACAATTTTTTTTTTAGATCTACTGTGTGCTAAGAGGGCTTCTCAGGTGACGCTAGTGATAAAGAACCCGCCTGCCAGTGCGGGAGACGTAGGAGATAATAGTTTGATCCCTGGGTTGGGAAGATCCCCTGGAGGAGGGCATGACAACCCACTCCAGTATGTTAGCCTGGAGAATCCCATGGACAGAGGAGCCTGGTGGGCTACAGTCCATAGGATCACAAAGGTCATAAAGAGTAGGACCCAACTGAAGCGATTTAGCACACATGCATACATGTGCTAAGAATGTGCCAGATCCTGGGGATACGAGGAGATTTAAGATACATGGTTCTCTAAAGGTTGATGAAGGAGCTGGACAAGTGAAACAACTCTTCCAAAAGGGAGTGCAAAGTGATGAAGACATCACAGGTAGCCCTTCAGAGCTTGACTAGGAGAGTTGGGGCAGGGAGAAGACTCTCTGAGTAGGAAGAACCTTGGTGAGCGAACGTGTGGAGAGGCACTGTAAGGATTGTAAGACATGCTGGCGGGTGCCCTGAGTACAACATGTCATCACAGTTTATTTCTTTGGTCAAGGGCAAAATTGAAAAGTCACTAGCACTTTATTAATTTCTGACCAGTTGTTCTTCTCACTAGATTGTATATAATTTCATCTTGACACAGGAGACTCCTATGTATTTTATGTCATAGTATAAATTTAGCCTACTTTCTCTTTTTCATGCAGCGATTGAAAAGGCAGACGTCAATACAGCTAAGAAGGTAAGACAAAACCACACTGTCTTGTTAAAACTTAAATGCCAGTTTAAGAAAGTATTTCTGCATAATTGTCTAATGGTTGACTTTGGGGAATTAGCATGATGAAACATTTTAATGACATTCCCATTACAAGGTACATTTGTAACTGTTGATTTAACTGATTTTTATCAATCTTTCCAAGGAGTTTGGACTATGGAGCATATATATAACATTCTTATTTTTTTTAATCTTCCAGTTACAAGGACAAATCAAGTCCAGCTTTATTTCTACTGAGAATTATCATACTCTTGGTTGTCTCAATCTTGTGGCTGGTGATTTAGCAAGCGAAATCCCTGTGATAATTGGGGTAATTCTTTTTTTATAAAATTTCAAATTTATTTTTCTGAAATGTTTCATTAAAAAATAGTTTTGGTAAAAAATTATGAATTTGTAGTGTATAGCAAAAACAGGGAAATTAGAGAATAAAGGTCATGAAATTAACTCAATAAGTTAACTAAGTTTCTACATTGGAAAAACTATTGCATCTTTATTTTCACAAATCTCTACCTGACATTTAGCAAGTCTTTCAGTTAGGGCTTCCCTGGTTGCTCAGATGGTAAAGAATCTGCCTGTAATACAGGAGACCTGGATTCGATCCCTGGGTCCGGAAGATCCACTGAAGAAGGAAATGACTTCCAATATTCTTGCCTGGAGAATTCCATGGAGAGGAGTCTGATGGGCTGTAGTCCATGGGGTTGCAAAGAGTTGAGCAACCAACACTTTCACTTTTCACTTCAGCTCTGAGTACAACAGCAGCAAACAAAACATCTAATGTCATATTCAAGGAGTAGGCAAAAATTCTATATTGAATTATATTATTACAGCATTTAGAACATTTTTGCTTGCCAAATTTATATATTAAGCGGGCATTTTTCCCCATCTAGTGTATCCTGTTCAGTATTTCATCGGGCTTCAAATAATTTGAAATGAATATTTATGAGTTTTTTTCAAATAGTAGTTATTTTAATGACAATACTTCATCAAGCACTGTATTTATCTCATAATTCTAGAGGACGTCTTAAAGCTTATCTGGTATCTCTAAGTTGCCTGAACATGCCTGCTCCTTGTTAAATGTGGTAGGAGTTCACTGTTCTTTCAATTCTGTTCTCTTGAAAACTAGGAGAGGAACTGGATGATACAGCTAGCTGAGCTTGAATATATATAAATATATTTTGAAATCAGTCATGTACAACTTTGATGTTTCTACTTGGAAGAGAACTTGGGTCTAAAACCAAGTTTGTAATTGACATTTCACTTCTGTAGGGAACTGGCAGTTGTGCATTCTCAAAATGGGAGCCAGATTCTTCGAGGAAAGGGATGACAGTTAAGAGTGTTATTGATTCAGAGATTATCAAAGGTAAAAACAAGTTAATGAAACTACTTTTGGTAATTGAAAATGAGTTGTTATTTTCATGTCAATATGCTAAGTCTAGCATGTGGGCCATTTTACCAAATAACTCTTGCAGACAAGCCAGCTTATTAGTCTATGGTTGTCTGCATATTTGACTTATTGGAGTGTTGCACTTGTTACTCTTCGTTTTGGAAGGTTTTTTGTTTTAGTAGTCATCCAGAAAAGTAGAGGGGAGGGAATACATGGGAATGGAAACTTCTTGTTTAAGTGTAGTTCTGCCTTTTCATAAGTATGTTATTTACTGTCTTAAATATGGCAATATGTAACCCAGAAACATAGTCCTTACACACCTTGCTTTTTCTTTTGTAGGTGCAAAGAAGTTCCAGCTTATAGACAACCTGCTTTTTGTTCTTGATACCGAGGTATGTTTCTGATACTTTGCCTTAAGTATTTTCACTTGGTGTTATATTTAACAGTGGAAGTGTTGTCAGACTTAACCAAGACAAGGACTTTAGCTGGGGTGAATTACTGTCTTGTGTATTGTACTTTATTTCAGTTACATATCAAAAGATAGATTCCCAAGTGTAAATTTTTAGCCATTAAGAGGATGTATCAGTGAAATGTCTCTTTTGCAGAACGTGTTGAGCTTATGGGATGCTTACACCCTAACTCTCATATGGAACTGGCCTGTCCTTCATGTAGAAGAGTTTCTTCTCACCACAGAAGCGGAGTCGCCTTCATCAGTCACCTGGTACATTATGACACTCACATTGATTTCCCTTCTGTTAGAATTAGGTTTCTTGCCTGGTTCTGATCAGATCTTTGCTACCCCGTGGTCTCTACAGTCTATGGAATTCTCCAGACAAGAATACTGGAGTGGGTAGCCTTCCCTGCTCCAGGAAATCTACTCAACTCAGGGGTCGAACCTAGGTCTCCCGCATTTCAGGCAGATTCTTTACCAGATGAGCCACCAGGGAAGCCCCATTACATTCCAAATAACACTGTGAACAGACTGACAGGGTAAAGACCATTTCATTGTTAGCCATTAAGAACAAATAGGTAACACAAAAAACTCCAAGTGAATGTGTTAGAAAGAGTGTCAGTCTAGGCCATAAACGTTGAGAAGCCAAATTCATTATTTTCTGTGTGAATAAATTTTTATATAAGGATATCACTTTGACTTAGCTTATGTCTAGCAACTGGCTTATGTGATTCACTTAAACCTTCTTTTCTCTTTCAGGCAAGGGATTACAAATCTCAAATTAGTGGCTCTGACAACTACTACTAATAAGAAGGTTTGGGAGAATTTATTTCACATTTGTCCATATTATGTGTTAGAAATAGCATTAATACAAAACTGGTTGTTAAGTAGTGCTCACAATATATTAGCTCTTATTTCACACATGTACTTGACAGATCAGAAATAACCCTGTGGAGAGGTCTTTTTTCTCATCTAAATGAGAAAATGGTATAAATCTCTGTTCCATACTTTAATTGGAGCATTTCCACAAGAAAATGCGTATTATAGTGATACTTCTTGGTTCTGACACTGAGGAATTACATTTGCTTTAGTTACATTTGCCTTACATTTACATTTGCCTTACATTTACATTTGCCTTCCGAATTAAATGGACTCCAGGTAGCAGATTTAGAAGATGGGATAGAATGTAATTTTATATGTAACCTTTAAATGATACAGTAACAAATTTACTTATTTTTTTTTCATTTAACATTGTATCAAATGTTTTCATCTATGTCCTGGATTGTGAAGTGCTATCTTGTGCTTATAGGTTTATATTGACCTAAGAAATTCATTGCTGTCCTATTTTTTTTTAGATGAAAAACCTCGTGGTCTATTCATTACCTGCAATGGAAATACTGTATTCTTTGGAAGTATCTAGTATTTCTTCTCTGGTCCAAACAGGAATTAGCACGGTAAGGTGACATGTATTTTGAACTACTTTATAGCAACAACAACAAAAACAATTAAGAATAACTGAGTCAAGAATGAGTGGAACCTAGTGGAATACCTGGATAAATCTCAGGTTTCTAACCATATTTATTGTTATCAGAGGTCCTGAAATACATTTATTTGTAGGAGGTCAGTTTTCATTTAAAAAGACAAGATAATTAATTGACTAAGACGTCAGTCAATTGCATATTCAATTTTCTTGTCTGTTCACAGGGAATATAAATGATTGTTAATTTGGGAGAGGTTATCACTTTTTACTTAACTTTCTAACTAAAAATATTAACTAAATAATAATAAATTTAACTAATAATAAAATAAGATAAATTTAAATAATTTTAACAAAAAATAATTTATTTTTTAACTAAAGATTTTATCCTAAAAAAATTTTTTTACTGTGTTTCATCTCTTTTATATACACGCCCTGCATTTTTTCCAAACCATTTGGAAATTACTTGCAGACATCATAACTTCTCATCTCTAGTTTTACCAGGTATCTCCTAAAGAGTCAAGCCATTCTTCTAAAACATAGTCATCACACTCACAACATTTAACAGTAATGCAATATTATTGTGAAATATGCCATCCAAATTCAAATTTTACCAATAGTGCCAATTACTTGAGAACTTTTTTTTTCCCCCTGACCTAGGATTCAGTCAAGCATCAGAAATTGAATTTTGTTGTGGTCACATGGTGGTTTACTTTAATCTCTAAACTTCCTTAGTCTTATCTTGGTCTTTTCTGACACATTTTCTTGAGTACTAGTAGAATGGTTGAATGTTCCTCCATTTGGATCTGTCAGCCTCATCGTGATTAGATTTGTGCTCAGCTTTTCTGGCCAGGATCCTGCATAGGTGATATTGTGTCCTGACTGAATCATGTTAAGGGACTCAAGTTTACTCATCTTGTTATTGGTGCTATTAAATTTGATCACTTGGTTAAAGCAGATCTGCCAGATTTCTTCCTTGTAAAAGTACACGTTCCCCCTGGTAATTAGTAAGTAATTTCTGTGGTACTGTTTAGAGACTATGGGAATATATTCTTTTCCTCAACAGTTTTTCTCAGTAATTTTAGAATCCATTGATGGATAATTTCTGCCTAAACCAGCTGTTACTCTAGTAACTATAAAGTGGATTATTTCTGTTTCTCAATTTTAAGCATGTTTTTGCTCTTGTAGGATACCATTTACCTTCTGGAAGGAATTTGCAAAAATGATCCAAGGTAGGTCATATTTTGTTTATCAGATACATCATTAAATAACCGCACAGTTAAAATTTACTTACTAATATTAAATGACAAATGTCAATATTAAAACATTTTTTTTCAGTCTGTCTGAAGACTCAGTCTCCGTTTTAGCACTCAGATGTCTTACAGAAGCTTTACCAGAGAACAGGTAACTTCTCCTTTTCTTCTGAGCCTTACCCCTTAATGGAAGACTTGAATTCCCTGATTAAAAATTTTACTGAAATTTCTTTTCAATTTTTCAGATTGAGTCGGTTACTTCACAAACACAGATTTGCTGAAGCTGAGAGCTTTGCCATTCAGTTTGGACTAGATGTTGAGGTAATTATTCATGTATTGATTCATGCATTGAAAGCATTTCTTCATGTACTAGAGGCTGAGGAGACAAACAGGTAAAACATGATTGAAATTCAGTGTGATCAGACCTGTAATTAAGATATGACCAAAGTAGAGTAAGGGATTCAAAGGAGGTACTGAACTTTTAAGTAGGGTGGGAAGACTTCCTGGAGGAGGTAATTTTATGTCAGATCTTGAAGATATTCCTGATAGTCCTGGGAGAGGAAGGGAATTCTAAGTATTAGGACACATGAAGAAAGTGAGGGATGGAACTTTCCTGGCAAACCAGTGGTTGGGGCTTCGCCAACCAAAACAGGGATGGGGTTGCAGGTTTGATTGCTGGTCAGGGAGCTAGGATCCCTCTTGCCTGGAGGCTGTAAAACCAAAGCATGGAACAGAAACAACACTGTAACAAATTCAGTGAAAACTTAAAAAAGAAAAATTCATCCCTTATTAAAAAATTCACATAGATGTTAAAAAGAAAGTAAGTAAGGGAGTCTTATGGTTTCCAGGAACTCCTAGTAATTAGTCAGGACTAGCATGTAGGTTCAATGTGCATTGAAAGAAAAGGTGATGATGGAGAAGAAGGTCAGAGTCTGGAGGGCTTTGTGTGCACTGCAGAGGATTTAGGTTTTGTTCTGCAGGTGATGGGGAGCTCCTAAGAATTTCACTGTATAAAAAGGGGAAATTGATAATGGGATTGAACCCGTATCTCAGTTGGAAGACTGAACCAGTGCAGCAAGGTAGAGACACACAGGAGGGAAGGCCAAGAGAGGTGTGTGGAAGGTAGAAGCAGTGGGGCTCAGTGATCAAACAGGGGGTGATAATGTCGGGAAGGGACTTGCAGGTCTCTGCTCAGCACACTCGTTGGAATGTGATGATATGACTTAAAAATGAAGAGTGTCGTGAAAGAGTTAGGGATAGCATATAAGGGGTTCTGCCTTATGAACATTGCATGTGTGACTTCCCTAGTGGCTCAGCGGTAAAGAATCTGCTGCCAGTGCAGGAGACAGAGGTTCAATCCCTGATCCGGGAAGATCCCACATGCCAGGGAGCACCTAAGCCCGTGCACTGCAACTACGGAGCCTGTGCTCTGGAACTGGGGAGCTGAAGCCTTGTGTGCCCTAAGGCCCATACTCCCCAACAAGAGAAGCCACTACAATGAAAGGTCCATGCAGAGAGTAGCCCCCACTCACTGCAACTAGAGAAAAGCCCTCACAGCAACAAAGACCCAGCATAGCCCAGAAATTAAATAAATAAAATTATATATTGAAAAAAAAACATTGCATGTAAGGGATCTTACAAAATGAGGCTCTCTGATAGGAACCTAGAGAGTGATCTGAGCTGAATCTGGAGGTGGATAACACGGGGGAATGACTCAGACCTCTCAAGGAGAATGTGGAGAGTCAGAAGAGATCTGAGTATGAGATACAGGGCACCAGCACATGGGACATAGAGGAAGAAAGGCGATGAACACATTTGGGAAGAAACCCACACAAATGTGCAATTGAAGAAGCCAAAGAAGAAGAAACTGAAGTTTAGGGAGGAGAATCCCTGGCAGTCCAGTGGTTAGGGCTTTTTGCTTTCACTGCTGAGGGCCTAGGTTCAGTCCTTGATGGGGGAATTGTGGTCCTATAAGCCATGAGACGTGGCCAAAAGACAAAAAGTTGAGTGGGGAGTGATCAGCAGTTGCAAATATTACTGATAAAATCAAGCATAAAAACTGAAAGTTCTTGAATTTGGTAATTAGGAATTCATTGATATCCCCTGAAAAGTCGTGGTAAGTAATGAAGGAGGAAGCCTAGTGGTAGTGAAGAACTAACTAGTATTTCCTTTGCGGATGGTGAGTATCCACCTGTTTGTTGTTTAAAAAATGTAGCATTTTGGGGACTTCCCCACTGATTCAGTGACTAAGACTCCAGTAATCCCAATGAAGGGGGCCCAGGTTTGATTGTGGTTAGGGAACTAAATCCCCACATACTGCAACTGAGAGCTTGCGTGCTGTAGCTAAAGATCTTATGTGCCACAAAGACCTGGCATAATCAAATTAAAAAAAAAAAGGAGTGAAAAAATGTAGCATTTTATTTTATGTAACAGCCTAAATGGAAAGAGAGCTTGAAAAAGAGTAGATGCAGTGCATATGTATAACTGAATCATTTTGTCGTACACCTGAAATTATCACATTGTTAATCAACTATACTCCAATATTAAATAAAAAGTTTTTAAACATAACATTTTAAAACACAGAAAAGAATTCCATATATTGTTTAAAAGTGTTTATGAGTAAAGAAGTAAGTAAATTAGTGGGATAACAACCACCAAAATTAAGATAACAGATATTTCTAGTTTAGGGAAGGAGGATGATGTATTTAGAAGAGAGAGATCTTAAACTATATTAGTGATTTCTGTGGCCAGCACAGCAAGTAGGGATTGAAAGTGGTCGACGCAGTTTGGGAAAAAAAAACTAGAGACAGAATTAAAGTTTTAAAGATGGGACCAGGGAACTCAAGACCTCTTGGGTCAAGAGCCCTGTTTCTTGGAGCCACATCACTTTTATTTAGTGTTTTGGCAAGCAGAAAGTATCTTGTGTTCCCAGTCACGTCTCCCATTTTATTGATTACTTTAAACTATCTTCGTTATTTTCTTGTACAAGGGCTATCATCAAGCTGGAGGTCATAGACCCGCATATGCCTTGGGAAAACATCTTAGTGTGTGCACAAGCAGTGTTCTGAACTTGTACTGACCCGGCACTCCAAGGTCCACACTGTTTTTCCTTAGCTTAGCAGGGCATGACAACCCCAACTGATCAACCCGATGTACTTTTATTTGGGTTGTGTTGTGTTGCTATATTTTGCTTTTATTCTTTTCCCATGGCGATTTTCTCATGGCTTAGCCAGAGCAACAGGTGGCTGACTGTTAACCCCTGTAAGTAATGTGCTTTATTTTTTTTTAATTTGAGTGATAAATATACAAGTATTTGTTATATTATTATCTTTTTAAACATCTGAGTTTCTAATTTTTAAAAAGGTGAATAGAGCAAAAAATCAAAGCCAGTGAAAGGTGTTTTCCGGCACTGGAGACACAGAACTATAGAAACTACTCTTTCATATAATTTTNCTTACCCACTGGACCACCAGGAAAGTCCCAGTGCTTATTCTTGAACTGCATGAATATTCACTTTTTTCTTTTTTTAGCATACAGCATAAGGTTTCATCAACAAGTATTACTTTGCTTCAGGTTTCTTGATGTGGCATGTTTATATTACAGCTTGTTTACAAAGTAAAATCAAATGATATATTGGAGAAACTAGCTTTGAGTTCTCTGGACACCAGTGAGCAAACTGAATGGCAAAAACTTGTAAATGAAGCTAAGGAAAATCTACATAAAATCCAGGTAGGTTTTCCCTGTTGTATAGTAGAATATTCAGAATAATGGAATGATCAGCATTGCATTGCCTTACCATGTCTGGCATTTATGCAATAGGATGATGAGTTTGTGATGAATTACTGCTTGGAGGCTCAGTGGATAACCTATGAAACCACCCAGGAAATGCTAAATTATGCCAAAACCAGGGTAAGTTTTTCTAATTTTTGTCCATGTTAGTTTGTCTTAAGCAAAAGAAATAATTTCCAAAAAGCTGAATTGTTTTTCCATCAGTGATCTTTTTAAAGTGCATTTAAAAAGTGCATTTTTTGCTATACATTGTTTTTCTCACTGATCTTTGAATGAATACTGTTGCTAGTTATATTCCTTAAAATCAAGGTATAACAGATGGGCAAAATGTGAGCTGTTTCTTAAAAACAATGCATTTTACAAGATATATAATTTTTTTATTCATCTCAGAGTTCAGTGCAATTTACTTTTTAAAAATGATTTTTTACTTTAATTCACAGAATGGAGAACCTGATATAGCCAATATTCTAACCATGTTTCTTATTCATCTTAGCTTTTGAAGAAAGAAGATAAAACTGTTCTTGTCTATTCTGATGGCTTAAAAGAGGTAATTACATTAGATTTATAGGTTAATTTGGGGATGAATGTACTAATAGAATATGCTTTTGAATTCAAGATAGATCTGTACTTTTTCAAGAGCAAGTTACTTTAATACATTTTTCCTTATTGCAAAATGGGAGTAATAATAGTACTTAAGGGTTATTTTGAAATCAAATGAAATATTTCCTCCAAGTATTTTTGCATAGTGATTGCTACCTGAAATAATTATAAATTATGATGATAGTTATGATAGTGTCAAAAATATATATGTGTGTACATGTACATACAGATCTTCCTAGATTTATGATGGGGTATGTCCTGACCAACCCATTATTAAGCTGAAAATATCATAAGTCAAAAATACATTTAAGGGATTTTCCTGGCAGTCCAGTGGTTAAGACTCCATGCTCCCAATGCAGGGGCCACAGCTTCCATCCCTGGTGGGGGAACTAAGATCCTGCAGGCTACATGCAGATAATAAAAAGTACATATAATGCACCCAACCAACTGAACATCATAGTTTGGCCTCGCTTATGTTAAATGTGCTCATAGACTTACATTAGCAAGAGTTGGGCAAAATCATGTGACTCAAGGCCTACTTTATAATAAAGTGTCAAATAGCTCATATAATTTATTGAATGCTGTACTGAAAGTGAAAACACAAAATGGTGGAAAGGGCATCAGTTGTTTGGGATTATGTGGCTAAGGGGAGCTACAGCTTCCTAATTCTTGCCAGCATCACAAGAAAGTATTGTCTTGTATATTATTAACGCAGGAAGAGATCAAAACTTAAAGTGTGATTTCTATTGAATGCATATTGATTTTCCACCATCATAACATCAGAAAATCTTAAGTTGAACCATTGCATGCCAGGGACCATCTATAATTTTTAACTCTTATCTCAAAGTAAATGTTTGGTATAATCCAGTTAGGTTTTACCAGAAGGTCATATTTATAAATCAGTGGGAAAACTAATTGATTTTGAAAGACACTTTTCCTGCTAAGCTTTAGGCATTTCCTACATCATCCATTGGGATTGAAACATTTGGAAGACAGATTTAAAGTCACAGTTTATATACAAATACCTTCCTCTTCTTTGCTGTTTTATTGCAATGCAATGACTGTGATTGGAAATGTTTCCATCAGTCCAAGTTTTATGTTTTGTGCTGAATAAAGGCAGCCATATTTATGGGTATTGACCTATAATACAGGATAAAAGGAGAATATGTGCAAGATTTCTAAAACAATGCCTAATTTTGGGTGTTTTTTATTTTAATGTTACTGCACACAATATTCAGACTGTCGGGTTGTTTCTCTTTAGGTACTAAGGGCTCATGCAAAATTGACTACTTTTTATGGAGCATTTGGACCAGAAAAATTCAGGTGTGTACATTCCCCATTTTTAATTTAAGTTTGGACTGTCATAAAAGATACAGCATTGCTTTGAATGAATTTATATTTCTAGGGAGTGAATGATGGAAAACGTTATCTTTCCTGATAAACTTTAGGCACTTCCTACATCATCCAGGTAAGGCAGACCGCCTTACCCGCCTCCTGAGAAATCTGTATGCAGGTCAAGAAGCAACAGTTAGAACCAGTCATGGAACAACAGACTGGTTTCAAATTGGGAAAGGAGTCCTCAAGGCTGTATATTGTTACCCTGCTTATTTAATTTATATGCAGAGTACATCATGTGAAATGCTGGGCTGGTTAATTTATATGCAGAGTACATCATGCGAAATGCTGGGCTGGATGAAGCACAAGCTGGAATCAAAATTGCCGGGAGAAATATCAATTACCTCAGATATGCAAATGACACCATCCTTATGGTAGAAAGCGAAGAACTAAAGAGCCTCTTGATGAAAGTGAAAGAGGAGAGTGAAAAAATTGGCCTAAAACTCAACATTCAGAAAACTAAGATCATGGCATCCAGTCCCATCACTTCATGGCAAATAGATGGGGAAACAATGGTAACNTGTGTATTTAATTTTCTGGAATATAATTGTGTTCACTTGATCTCATCTCTATTCATTCACCAGTATCTAATAATTTTAATTAATGAAGCTTTCAAGTGTCTCATTAACTGATAGACTAGTCCCACTATGCTAATTTTCAGAATTTGGGGGATTACTCTTTTCTGTATGAAAGAGTCAGAATCAGCTTGTTCAGTTTTTTTAAAATCTTATTTTTATTGGATTTATTATTATTTTTTAAAAATGGGACTGTGCTGAACCTAAGATCAATTTGGGGAGAACCAGTATCTTTATAATATCAAATCTTCATATTTAATGACAGTATGTGTCTTCTTTGGAGGAGGAAATGGCAACCCATTCCAGTATTCTTCCCTGGGAAATCCCAGGGACAGAGGAGCCTGGTGGGCTACAGTCCATGGGCTCACAGAGTCAGACACAATTTAGCAACTGAGCCCACACGCGGGTGTCTTCCTACTCATTCTATTCTTTTCTTATATTCCTAAGTGATAGCTACTCAGTTGTCTTCATACAGATTGTGTATACTTTATGTTAATTTTGTTCTTTTTTCCTACTATTATAAATGGAACTTTATCATATTTCAAAAGAATATAGAAGCTATTGATTTTTTTTAATTACTTTTAAATCAGTTACTTTATTGAACTCCTTTTTTTTTGCTTATAGTAATATTTCAGTTAATCTTGCTTTTTCCAAGTATATTATTATATATGCAAATAATGATAATTTTGCTTCATTTTTTTCCTCATTTCTTGCCCAGTTTCATTGACTGATACTTGTAGAACGTTGTTAAATAATGGTTGTAAACAGACATCCTTGTGTTATTTCTGATGTTAGTGAAAATGCTTATTTTGTCTTATTTAATCATAACACAGGCTTGTAGAGTTTTGTCTTTTTGTCATTTTAAGGAAGTGTTTATCTTGTATTTCTGAGCTTTAGTTGGGACTGGGTAGTCACTACAGCATTACTGATTATAGCAAAAGACTGGAAATAACCCTAAAGTTCACCTGTGGGGGTGCTAGTTAGATTATAGTAAATCCATGCCATGGAATCATATGTAGTCCTTAAAAAGAATAATAACTATATGTGCTCATTTGGTACAAGTACCAAATAATATAAAGTGAATATTTTCAAGTATAAACAGTATGTAGTAAAAATTCATTGAAATCATTCATTTAAAATTAAAAATGGTTGCTTGAATATGTAGTGATTATTTCAGAAAGGCCCTATAAGAAGAGCTATGCCTTCTGGAGGAGGGGAATACAGGAGTTTTATAGGTCTGGATAAGAAGGAGACTAACTGTACAATCTTTGGTATTTTTTTTTAACTCTTTGAGAAAAAAAACTAGTTAAAATGCATAATGATATTCACTTGTATAACCTTAATATATATTTTTAAACTATTAGCTTCCTTCCTCTCTTTGACTTTGCAGTGGTAGTTCTTGGATTGAATTTCTGAATAATGAAGATGACCTTAAGGATATTTTTTTACAGCTAAGAGAAGGAAACCTTTTTTGTGCACAGTACCTCTGGCTGAGACATCGGGTAATTTCTTTTGCATTTTTTTCTGAATGGCTTTATAGATCCCTAGAGATGTGATTCGAAGAAGGCAATGGCACCCCACTCCAGTATTCTTGCCTGGAAAATCCCATGAACGTAGGAGCCTGGTGGGCTGCAGTCCATTGGGTCGCAAAGAGTCGGACACGACTGAGTGACTTCACTTTCATTTTTCACTTTCATGCATTGGAGAAGGAAATGGCAACCCACTCCAGTGTTCTTGCCTGGAAAATCCCAGAGACAGGGGAGCCTGGTGGGCTGCCATCTATGGGGCTGCACAGAGTCGGACACAACTGAAGTGACTTAGCAGCAGCAGCAGAGATGTGATTTAATCAGTGTTGGGAACAAATGAGGTGGCAGGAGTGACTGGGCAATGGGGCATTTTCAGACTGTTTGATAAAATAGAGAGAACTGTCCTCTGATGATATTAATATTAACTCAGGAAATATTATGACGATAAAATAGGAACTTATGTTGTTTCATCATTCAGAACCTGAAGAAGTGAAGTGAAGTGAAGTTGCTCAGTCATGTCCGACTCTTTGTGATCCCATGGACTGTAGCCCACCAGGCTCTTCTGTCCATGGGATTCTCCAGGCAAGAATACTGGAGTGGGTTGCCATTTCCTTCTCCAGGGGATCTTCCCGACCCAGGGATTGAACCCAGGTCTCCCACATTGCAGGCAGACGCTTTAACTTCTGAGCCACCAGGGGAGCCCAATTCAGAGCCTAGTTAGCACCTAAACTTAGCTCAAGAGGTAACATTCTATTAAACAGTTTATTGACACAGTTTATTCACACCTTCTGTGTTAATGGTGGAGAGGGTAGTCCTATTGCAGCTCAGATGGTGGTAAAGTATTGTCTCTTACAGTTGCTGTTCTGAATCACCTGAATAGTGATATAGGATATTAGGTCCGAAGAGCAGGATCTGGGTGTGACGCTGTTAAAGACACACGTTGTTAGGGTTTATACTCTCATCTTCAGTTAAGTTTTCGTTAGAATGGCATCTCTGCCAGTTCCTCTGCCTTGATTTATTAACTTGTTCTTGCTGCCATGAGGTTTCATGGAATTTAGCTACCAACTCAAATCATTTGCTTTAAGGGTCATTATTAAATCAGTAGAATATTTCTTGAAATGACTTCCTAATGTCTTTCCCTCTTGGGAGGCTCTGTTTAAATTTATCAGATAAATCTTAGTTTCTCACTCTGTATGATTTAGGCAAACTTTGAAAGCAGATTTGATGTGAAAATGCTTGAGAACTTGCTCAACTCAATTTCTACACCAGTCTGTCTGCAAAAACTTTGTCCATGGCTTAAAAATGATGTGGTCCCATTTGTGAGAAAGACCGTACCTAAAGGACAGGTAAGTTGCTGTCAGTGTTTCCACTCTGGATGATTCAGTTTTATTTTTTACTTTATATTGTTAAAGATTAAGTCATGCTAACACCAGGTAGTTCATTTTAGTATCTCTTTTGAAAGATTATCATGAAGGTTTTGAATGATTTCAGTGATTATCTATTTGTACTTTATATGATGTATCTATTTCAGAAAATTCTTGCAAAATGGTTGGAGCAAGCAGCCAGGAACCTTGAATTAACTGATAAGGTAATACCAGTTTAATTAGGACTAAAGAGACATTTCAAATACTCCCCATTTTATTTTAAAAATAAAAACATTACTTTTAACGGTCTCTAATATTTTTTTAAAGGCAAACTGGCCAGAAAATGGGCTTCAACTGGCAGAGGTATTTTTTACAGCAGAAAAACCAGATGAGTTGGGATTGACATCCTCTTGGAGTTGGAGTTCCTTGGTATGATATGAAAAAAATTTTTAGTAATAAAACATTTGGTTCTTTACTGTCTGAGCCACCAGGGAAGCCCAATTTAAAAATATTTAATTTATATTAAAGAGTTTGTCTCTGTATTTAGACATATCTGCCTCTTAAGTTTTCTTTCTGTGTGTTCTTTGTTGTGTACTTTGACAATCCACTAAAAGGAAAATTAGCTTTATTTCTTCATGATGTTTCTGTCACAACTTCAGCCTGTCCTAATGCACTGTTTTCTTTTATTGAACCAAAGGGAAGCAATATATAAACATACTCCTAAGTAGTCTAATTGGGGTTTTATGCATTAGTAGCATTTCATAGCCCTCTAAAAGGGCAAAACTTAATAATTCATTAGGATTAGTTTTTAAAGGCGCTATCAATCAGGTTTATTTTTACTTAAACTGGTAAACTGCTTCTAGTTTTGAATGCCTTTCTTAGACATTCCAACAGTCATAATGGCTTAAGAATCAAATACTTTTTTAAAAGATCAAGTTGAAAAAAGTCTCGAACTTCTGACTGACCAAAAAAAAATAATGATGCTAGAAAGAGAACTAAGAGTAGGAATATTGATGTCACATATAGTGTTAGTTTGAGGTTAAAGAACTAAATTTATTATTTGGCTTCTAAATTTCTTAAGTTTATTTATTTTCTCCTTCATATTTCTGAAAACTAGAAAGCATTGATTATATTTTTAAAAAAGTACATTCCTATATTTTAAAAAATGTTTGTTGGGGTACCGTAATTTAGTTTATAATCTAACATTGAGACATCTCAATATATAAAGTACTTAAGGACCAGAAGGTATGACTTTTTGGAACATATGTGCATTATGAAATTACACTTATTCCTTAAGTTTCTGGAGCCCCCAAATAGATAATATCAATAAATTTCCTCCTACTTTCTGATATAACAGTTTCTTATTATTATTTACATTTAGTGATTATATACTATTAAGAATAAAATAAGAATTTTTTCTATAGGTTACAAGCAGTATATTGACATCATATAATCTTTATATGTTATAATGTATAAAGTATATTGATTATTATATATGTTTTTCCACAAGAGAGCTTTTCCTCTTCCTCTTTTCCCTAATTGCCTTTTACCAATTGAAAATTCTGTTTCTTGCATATAGCTTTAGGAAATATCATAGCTTTATATCTGGTTTTAATGTATAGCTTTATATCTATATGGTTGGAACATTGAGGACCATCTAAATGATGATTGTGTACCTAAGTATATTTGGGGTTCTGAAAAAATTTACACTGTATTAATAGTTTTTTCTATTTTTTAGGAAAGAAAAATTTCAGATTTCTATTAGATTCTGGTCTGTTAATTTGTACTAGTTAATTTTAGTTAAACTTATACAAAATTTAAAGGCATAAGTTACAGGTTTCCACTTATTTGTATTTCCCTCATGCTTTTGTTTCATATCCATTAACAACTTCAACACTTTCGTTTTATAAGGATAATCAGAACATGGAGGAAGTATGTCAGTTAAGGACTTTGGTAAATAACCTTCGAGAATTAATCACACTGCATAGGAAATACAACTGCAAATTGGCCCTCTCTGATTTTGAGAAGGTAGGTAAAAGTCTAGATTTACCAGAATTATTTTACCACAATCAACATGGCTAGAGTTTGCATTTATGCCATCTTTATTTTGACATCCAGGAGGATACAACCACCATTGTATTCCGAATGTTCGATAAAGTGCTGGCCCCCGAGCTTATTCCTTCCATCTTCCAGAAATTTATAAGAGTTTACATGCATGAACATGACTTACAGGAGGAGGAACTTCTCCTTTTGTACATAGAGGTAACTTCTTTTTTTCCTGGATCTGTGCAGTGTGTCGTCGTATTGAATGTTTAACTCTGAGGAATGTGGATACCTACCATTAGGATCTGTGCAGCATATTGTGTTGTTAAGAATGTGAGTTAAACAAGTGCTAGGGCCTGGTGCACTGGGAAGACCCAGAGGGATCGGGTGGAGAGGGAGGTGGGAGGGGGGACTGGGATGGGGAATACATGTAAATCCATGGCTAATTCATTTCAATGTATAACAAAAACTACTGTAATGATGTAAAGTAATTAGCCTCCAACTAATAAAAATAAATGGAAAAAAAAAAAAGAAGTTAACTCTGCTGCTAACTGAGTGGTAACCTTGACACAATGGGATAATATTAGGACTTTCTCCAAATGGTTGTTGTGAAATAATAGAAATATGAGCAAAGTTTTCTGTGCCATGTAAAACCGAAGACCAAGGTTTTGGCAATTTTGCACTGTTGACCATTGTTCATCATTCATGGCTAAGTAGAAGTTTTTGGTTTTTTACATACCCATAAAAGCTATTTACTTGTATTTATTTGTGTGTGGGGGGGTTGGTTTTTGTTTCTTTGTTTTCTAGTGAGTTTTAAATTTAAACAAAATGTTTGTCTCCTTTTAGGATTTACTGAAGAGATGTAGTTCAAAGGTCACCTCACTCTTTGATACAGCCTGGGAAGCAAAAGCCATGGCAGTAATAGGATGTTTATCTGACACAGATGTAAGTAAATAGTGATCATATAGGTTTTTCTTTTGAGTATTGCATCCTTTCTTAAAAATTTTTTTCCTGGTCACAAAAGCAGCAGATATTTTTTGCTGTTCACCTTAAACTGCCACAACACTGTTAATTGGCTATATTCCCTAGTACAAAATAAAAAGTTTAAAGTTTGAAAAAAATAAATATTAAAAAGCAAAATCAAGAAAAAGCAATACATATTTGTTAGGAAGAATTTGTATAATATGAAAAAAGAATAAAGAGAAAATAAAATCACAATCACCCATGATTCTTTTTTCTCATGAAAAGTCTTCTCATTCCCACCTGCAGAAATACCACATGGACATTTGAATGCATGTATTTCCAGTGTTTCTATGGTCTTACAAACATACAGTTTTTAACATATTTATCATATACCTTTATTTTGACTTCACACTGTTTTTAGTCATTATTGTAAAATGTGAATAAAATCATAAAAACATTTTTAAACACAGACTATAGAAAATAATAGAGCTATGTGACTTAATATGTGTGAATATTGGAAGAAATACATGGTTTTGCTGTCAGAAGATGAAATATTCTTGTTTCCATACAGTAGATGGCAAGGCCCCTGCTATAGATTGGGCAGCATCATTAATTTGCATGAGACGTAGTCCGAGGGCTATTCACTGTTGGTGTGTGTGTGTCTTTGTAGCTCATATTTGATGCTGTGCTCAAGATAATGTATGCCGCAGTGGTCCCCTGGAGTGCAGCTGTGGAGCAGCTGGTGAAACAGCACTTAGAGATGGACCATCCCAAGTAAGATTACAGTCTCCGGATCCAGTTTTTGGTGTTGGATAAACTATGTTTTGAGTTGAAATTAACATGTTTTTCTATCCTTTACTGTGTCTCTTAGTATTTCATAACAAAGACAGTCTGTGTTAATATCAACAAATTTACTTTTAGGGTCAAGCTATTACAGGAAAGTTACAAACTAATGGAGATGAAAAAACTTTTACGAGGCTATGGAATAAGGGAGGTGAATCTCTTAAACAAGGAAATAATGGTAAGTCCAATAATTGAATCTTTTAACACCTTTGTTCCACTTCTAGAACAACATGGGAAATGTGACCGGGTTTTACATTCTTAACGATTCATATACCTAGGTTCTTCACTACTTTACTTTTGTTAGATAGTATGTTAATAGAGTGTTTGATTGGTTATTAAAATAGTAAAGACAACAGATAATAAATTAAGGAACTAAAGAAGCAAATTACATCATAATGTTGTGTACCTTGTGAAGTCGCTCAGTCGTGTCCGACTCTACTACCCATGGACTGTAGCCTACCAGGCTCTTCCCTCCATGGGATTCTCCAGGCAAGAGTACTGGAGTGGGTTGCCATTTCCTTCTCCAGTGTGTACCTTAAATATATATAATTTTTACTTATCAATTAAACCTCAATAAAGCTAAGGGGAACAAAGGTGAAAGGATTGTCATTAAATTCAAAATATAAATTGTGTTTTAATTCTTCGTACAGTTTAGTTTTTGCTACATTGTTTTAATTGCATAAACATGATTTCTGGCTTCTCTGTGAGATTTCATAACAAAGAAACATGAATCGTCTCTATTTCAGAGGGTGGTCAGATACATTCTCAAACAAGATGTCCCATCTTCTTTAGAAGATGCTTTGAAGGTAGCTGAAGCATATATGTTGCCTAAAGATGAAATCTACAGTCTAAGAATTATTGACCTGATTGATAGAGAACAGGTGAAAGTTTTATATCATTCTTACTTTTATCCCTATATGGTTTCTTTGTTTTGAGTTTTTAAAGATTTAACTATCAAATTATACAAATAGACAAGCATAAAATAAAGTTATACTAGCATTAGGCATTAGATTGGCCTCTATCTATAGGTTTTTTTTTTTCTTTAAAGTATTTTGTGAGTACCTAAAGAGCTTTCATAGTCTTTGGTAGTTAACAAAATTTAGCTTATGTTTTTATATATGCTATAGGACCCTTTGTTCCCAGAATAGGACGTAGGTTTTATTTTTGTATTTTTAAGTGTCTTTATATAATTCTAAAACTATTAGGTATACCCAAGAATTACAAAGTACAGAGGGTAGTATTTTAATTTAATCTTTTTGTTTTTGTCATCTGAAACAGAATTTTCAGATTTTTAAACCATGGAATCATAATCTGTTTTTCAAAATGATGTCATTTCATCTTTAAATAATAAAGTTAATAGGTAAATCCAAATCATTCCTTGCCAGTACCAGCTGCTTTTTCTTCCTTTCAAACTCTGATTGTAGGGTGAAGACTGTGTCCTTCTGTTGAAGTCTTTGCCTCCTGCTGAAGCTAAGAAAACTGCAGAAAGAGTAATCATATGGGCACGACTGGCATTACAGGAAGAACCAGATACTTCTAATGAGGTAAGATTTCTACTACATAAAATGAAGATAAATCTAGTTTTTATGGCTATTTATCAATAGGCTAGAAAAGACAGACTCACAGTAAGCGTGTTTGTCCTTCTCACTGCTACAGTGGCATAATATGAAAATTCCTGTTTACTATGTCGAAAACTTATCATATAGAAAGAGAAAACAAATATGGCTGCCTCGGAGCAGTGCCTCTGCCCCCACACTAAGTAATCTAGGATCTGCAGATCAGAAGGGGTAATTGAAGCACCTGTTGGACATAGAGTTTTCCCTAACACCTTCAAGTGTAAACAGTGTTTTACATTACATGGGGCATAGTCATTACTCTCAAGTAATGTCAGCCACAGAAATAATGTATAACTAATCTGAGAACAGAACCTTGAAATTTAGAAGCAGTTACCAGAAAGCCAATTTGTGATAGATAATGGACCGAAAACCTAATTTATCCAGGGGAGTTGAGTTTTTTAAACCTTTGGAGATACTTACTCCCCAGTCTCTCTCAGTGGTTCACTTGAGTTTTTTTCTTTTTTTTCTCCCATTGCAGCCATTTTTCTTTAGAGGTGAGGGCTGCTCTTAGTCTTAGCTGCGGTATGTGGGATTTAGTTCCCTGACCAGGGATCAAACCCAAGCCCCCTGCATTGGGAGCATAGCGTCTTAGCCTCTCCACCACCAGGGAGTCTCCACTTCAGTCATTTTTTACCTTTAGAGAAATGAATTTTTTAAACACCTAAAATTTATTATCCTCTTATTGTTCACAAAGTATTAAAGTACTTTAAATGGATTATCCATTTCTTCCTCACAGTAAAGCAGTGAACATAATTATGAAGGAGGCCCTGTTGTTAGCTCCTTACTGAGTTTAGAAACTAAAATTTTAAAATTAGAGGCTTTCCCAAGGGTATTTGAAAAGTGGCAGTGCCTCATTTCAAACTCTGATCATCATCTGTCTGTATTCTCAATCACCAGCTTTAACTACAACTCATGATCGAAATGTTTGAGTATTTCATGTGAACCCGACCCTTACTAAGCCTTTAACATATATCATCTCTTTAAATTAAAGCTTTTCCCTGTTGGTGGTCTTTCTTGTCTTAAAAAAAAGGTTTTTTTTCTTTTTTGGTCTTGAGGAGTCTTATTTCTTAGACTTCTGATTTCTATACTAAACAAGTTCAGTTCTTTTTAACTTTTCCAGAGATCTTTTTCCAGATGTTTTCTCAAATAATAAGTATATGCTATTAAAACAAACAAAATCCAAATGCTTGTTAATTATAGTGTGACTGAAAGGTGATGTGGCAGATTTGCATATTCTGTGGTATCCATACATCCAAGACTCCATTTGTTATTTTTCATATTTAGCTTATATAGTATTCATTTATCATCTTTTCCTTGACTGCCCAACTCCCTATAACACTGACCTTTCGACTGTTCAGCCATTTCTATTATTTATTCTGATTCTGTGCTTTGTATGTATTTGTCTATATATGCACTACCTGTACAATGGCAGATACAAGAAATGGACTTCATTTTGCATTTCTCTTTTTAGGACAAGGCCTGGAGACTGTCTGTAGCGAAGACATCAGTAGACATTCTTAAAATACTTTGCAACATTCAGAAAGGTAGTTTCCATTTCTGTTCCCTCACTTTGGTTTAGTTCTAAAACCAATCCTTTTCAGGAGCAGGTATCAGTGACATTTGCCATACTGATGCACAGGCTCTGATTGTGTCTGTTCGTTTGTTTGGCTCTGACTGTATGTTTTTGTTTGTTTGTTTGTTTGTTTGTTTGTAATATTTATTTATTTGACTGCACCAGCTCTTTTTGCAGCATGTGGGATCTAGTTTCCTGACTAGGGACTGAATCCAGGCTCCCTGCATTGGGAGTGTGGAATCTTAGCCACTGGACCACCAATGAAATCCCCTGATTGTCTTGTTTGATCCCACACATTTTTCTTCAGGGAAAGCCTTGCTTGCCTTATTCTTTTGGTTAGCAGTGTAAGAGCAGAAGCATCTAAGAGTAGCTCATCATTTGTATATACTTCAGTGACTGTTTAATGCCAGGCTAGGTTTCTCTGGTGCCTTGCACTGTTTACTCACATTGCTCACTTATCATTTGATTATGACTGAGGAAAAAACCATTTAACCTTGAACTTAAAACAGTTAGCACGGGACTTCCCCAGCAATCCAGTGGTTAAGACTCTACTTTCCGTGAAGAGACGGCTCGAGTTTGATCTCCAGTCAGGGAACTAAGGTTTTATATGCCTTGAGGTGTGGCCAAAGTTTTTGAAAAAATAAATGTACTATTTCCAACAAGAAAAGCTAGAACAGACAAATAATTACCAAAGTAACTCTCTTGGGGGAAAAAAAATCTAGAATTTATTTCAGAAAAATTGCCATTTCTCATGTAACCAAAAAACTTCTTTTTTCTACTTTCAAAGAGAATACTTAGATTTCTCTTTTTTTTTTTAATTGGAGGACAATTGCTTTACAATATTGTATGGTTTCTGCCATACATCACCATGAATCAGCCATAGGTTAACTTATGTCCCCTCCCTCTTGAACCTGCCTCCCTAGGTTTCTTTTTGTGTTTACTTAAATTGTCTTCTATCAGAATTTGAAAAGAACTACTAAAGATTTGAGAAAACCAAAGTGAATTAAAATTTTAGCTTCTAAAAATTCTGATAGTATCAGTATTTGGATGTCTTCTATAACTTTAAAAAATTGAATTACAGACAATCTGCAGAAGAAGGATGAATGGGAAGAAACCTTGAAACAATTTAAAACTGTTGCTAGCTTACAGGTAAGTTAAGCCATGTTGAACATCAGTACCTGACTAATCAGTGCATTTAACATAAATGATCAGTTCCTCAAAATTTTCTGCACTAGCCTTCAGGAACTTTGGATATACTGGTTTTCCTTCTCTCTTTTTGAAAAAAGTAATTTTATTTATTCATTTGCTTATGGCTATGCTGAGTCTTCCTTGCTGTGCAGGGTTGTTCTCTACTCTCCAGTTGCAGTGCTTGGGCTTCTCATTGTGGGGCCTTCTCTTGTTAGCGGCGCATAAGCTTCAGTAATTGTGGTGCAAAGGTTCAATAGTTGTGGTTCCCGGCGTATAAATTATAGGCTCAATAGTTGTGGTGCCCAGGATTAGTTGCTCCGCCACTTGTGGGATCTTCCCGAATCAGGGATTGAACCTGTGTCTCCTGCATTGGGCAGGTAGATTCTTTACCACTGTCTCTTTTTTTTGGAAGCAACTTTAATGCGATATAATTCATGTACCATACTTCTCATCCATTTGAAGTGTATGTATAATTCAGTAACTTTTTCAGTGTACTGCATTACTGATTGTTTAAATCATGGTAAAGTACTACAATGTAAAATTGGCCATTTTAACCATTTTTCAATATACAATTCAGTGGTGTTGACTCCATTCACAGTGTTGTACAACTGTCACTGGTGTCTGCTTTTTATCACCTCAAGCAGAAGCTTTGCATCTGTTCAGCAATATAACTCCCCATTCTGCTCTTCCCGCAGTGCCTGGTAACCTCTAATCAACTTTTTATCTCTGTGAATTTGCCTGTTCTAGAAATTTCACATAAGTGGAATCATATAATATTTGTCTTTTTGTGCCTGACATTTTTTGCTTAGTATAATGTTTTCAAGGTTCATTTATGTAGGATGTATAGAACTTCCTTCCTTCCTCTGAATAATATTCCACTGTACAGCTCTATCACATTTTTGTTTATTTCTTGATGGCCACTTAGTTTGTTTTCACATTGGGGCTGTTGTGAATAATGCTGCATTGCACATGGATGTACAAATATCCGTTAAGTTCCTGTTTTCAGTTCCTTTGGGTATATACTCAGGAGAGGAATTGCTGAGTCATATGGCAATTCTGTGTTGTTTTAACTTTTTAAGAAATGTTCTCTCTTTTTTGAACTAGTCAGTTGTTCTATGTAAGGTTCTGTTGATTCTTGACCCGAATACCAGCATATAAGCAAACAGGAACTAAAGAGTCTCTTGATGAAGGTGAAAGAGGACAGTGAAAAAGCTGATTTAAAATTCAGCATTAAAAAAAACTAAGACCATGGCATCCGGTCCCATCACTTCATGGTAGATAGAAGGGGAAAAAGCAGAAGCAGTGAAAGATTTTCTTTTCTTGGGCTCCAAAATCACTGTGGATGGTGACTGTGGCCATGAAATTAGAAGACAGTTGCTCCTTGGAAACCTCGACAGCATATTAAAAAGCAGAGACATCACTTTCCTGACAAAGCTTCATATGGTCAATGCTAAGGTTTTTCCAGTAGTCGTGTAGAGATGTGAGAGCTGGACCATAAAGAACGCTGAGTGACAAAGAATTGATGCTTTCAAATTGTGATGCTAGAGAAGACTCTTGAGAGTCCCTTGGACTGCAAGGAGATCAAACCAGTCAATCCTAAACAAAATTAACCCTGAATATTCAATGGAAGGACTGATGTTGAAGCTGAAGCTCCATTACTTTGGCCACCTGATATCAAGAGCTGACTCATTGGAAAAGACCCCGATGCTGGGAAAAATTGAAGGCAAAAGGAGAAGAGGGCAGAGGATGAGATAACATCACTGACTTAATGGACACGAACTTGAGTAAACTGCAAGAGACAGTGAAGGACAGAGAGGCCTGGTGTGCTGCAGTCCATGGGGTTGCAGAGTTGGACACTACTTAGTGACTAAATAACAACTCTCTTTTTAAACTATATTCTATCAATTGTTTATGCCTTTTTAAAAACCATTTTGATTTAAAGTATTTGTATAGATTATTTAATTCCAGTCCCTGAATGATGGCTAACAGTAGCCATCACTTATTCAGCTCTTACCATGTACTAGAGACATCATTCCAGGGGCTTCTCAAGTGCTAATTGTCACAGTAGCTCCCCCTAGAGGTTACTATTACCATTCTCCTTTACAGAGGAGGAAACAGAAACCACAGCATCTCAAGATATTGTGAAAGACAGCACATTTTATGTAGAAACTGGTCCGAAAGATGACTATCTACTTCATAATGTCTTTACTTTTTTTCTATATAGTTTCATCCTAGGCAATTTGCTTTTTTTTGAAAATTAATTTCTGTTCACTTTAAACAGATTAAGTGTCTTCAGATGTGACATTTGAAATTAACTTTATTTTGGCTCCAGGTCTTTTCTAATGTGAAAAGACTTTGTAAATAGAAAGGCTATCAGGGCTCACCGATAAGTAGGAAATGGAGTACATACAAGGATCTCTTTGTGAAAACTTAAAGTAAATACACTGGCAAATTTAACTCTCAACTGTTTTATCTTGAAGTGTGGGAAGAAGAAATAATTTATCACAATTTATTGTATCGCAGTTTCTCAAAGAATAGTCCATGGAATCCCAAGGGTCTCTGAGACCCTCTCAGGGAGTCCTTGATATTAAAACTATATTTATAGAAACAATAAGAAGTGATTTGTTCTTTCCATCCATATTCTGTCATGAGAGTAGTGGGGTTTTCAGAGGCTTCATGCCATGATAACATCATCACTCTAAAGGCTGATAGAATGTGCATTTTATTTGCTCATGTATTTTAAATTTTTCTGTTTAATTTCCAATACAGTAAATATTGATAGATATCTCATTAAAATTTGGGGGAGGGCCCTCAATAATTTTTAAAATTATTTTGTTTTTTGGTTATGCTGGGTCTTTGTTGCTGTGCAGACTTTTCTCTAGTTTCAGAGAGCAGGGGGTACGCTCTAGTTGCAGTGCTCAGGCTTTTCATGGTGGTGGCTTCTATTGTTGGGCTCTTGGGCATGCAGACATCAGTAGTTGCAGCTCCTCGGCCTATGGGATCTTCCCAAACCAGGGATCGAACCTGTCACCTGCACTGGCAGGCAAATTCTTTACCACTGAGACACCAGGGAAGCCCCCCTCAATAATTTTTAAAAGAGTATATAGAGGTGCTGCACCCCTAAAGTTTGAGACCTTTCATTTTAAACAATAGATGTCTTCATTTAAAGCACCCTGGAGTCAGCTTCTCCAGGAGTTAACCCAGGACTTAACTTCTCCACATTCTTCTTAAATTTGAAAATTGCAGATGTTTTAAAGCAACAGTTTTGATCTAAGCAAAGTCGTGTTTAGTTATGCTACTATTTGTGGAACATTCCTTGTGCCAGGTGTAGTGGGGAGAGGCCAGGGATGCTGCTAAACGACCTCTTGTACCCAGACAGCCTCTGCAGGAAACAATTACCTGGCAGATAGAGAAACCCTGCTCTAAAGTGTAGTGTCAAAGAAAAACGTTCCCTCACTGCCACTGCCTCTTGGTGCCCTTCCTTGGGCTTCAGGAGGACTATTTTTATTGGGTCGGAAAATAAATCCTAGTTCTGGAGTTAGAAGTCAACCAGGAGTTATTACAGAAAAGAGCAAAGCTGGCTTCTTCAAGCCTCCAGGTTGGAATTGCACAAACTTAACCCCTTTCTCCTTCTGTTCAGGGTTAGGTTTAGAATTACAGTAGGTTTAGAATTGCAACAGAATTACTGAGCCAAATACACTCAGCAGTGCTGAAGTTAGAAAAACCCTGGGTTAAAGTGATATTTTCCCCTGTCTCAACCTTTATATAAGTTACTTTTGAAATATAGATACTTAAATTCTTAATTTACAAGGGAGAAAAGAGAGGTTCATGACACACCAGTGATGTTCAACCATGGATGAACTGAATAGACATGGGGCTTTGTCTTGCTTGCCTTGCTGCAGGAGAACTTTGAGGTCTTTCTTTCATTTGAAGATTACAGCAATAGTTCCCTGGTAGCAGAGCTCCGGGAGCAGCACATTAAAGCTCACCAAGTTGCACAGGCTAAACAGAAACCCCGGAGGCCAGCAGAGCCCCGGGCCGCCGAGGAGCAGAGACCGAGCGCCGAGTCCAAGCTGCACCGACAGGCTCTGACCCTGCAGGTGTCCAGGCGAGAGCTGGAAGCCGAACTGACCTTGAGGGCCTTGAGTGATGGGGACGTGGAAGCTGCATTGAGAAGATGCAGGTGAGTTCTTGGTCCCCAGATCACACAGCTCATCAGAAAGGAACACCGACTTCTTTTATTTCTTTGGTGATAAGGATGGGGCTGGTGGTAAGTCAGAAAGAGAAAAACAAATACCGTATATTAACACATATATGTGGAATCTGAAAAAAATTGTCATAGATGATCTTATTTACAAAGCAAAACTAGAGACACAGACGTAGAGAAAAAACATATGGACACCAAGGGGATTAGGGGAGAGGGAGTGAATTGGGAGATTGACATGACACATATATACTATTGATGCTATGTATGAACTAGATAGCTAATGGGAACCTACTGTCTAGCACAGGGAACTCTGCTCTGTGGTGACCTAAATAGGAGGGAAATCCCAAAAAGCAAAAAGAGGATATATATACACATATGTATGTATATACGTGTAGTTGATTCACTTTGCTGCACAACAAAGTAACACAACATTGTAAAGCAGCTATAATTTAGTCAGCATTTTTTTTTAAAACTATAAGCCTTATTTTCAACAAGCAATAAAAAAATTTAAAAAGATAGGTAGGGCTGGTGACCCTTTCACTTCCACAGAAATGATTCTTGGTTTCTTACCCTGAGAGCCTGTCTTGGTTACCTGGGTCAGAAAAAGGGGGCATAGAAGTCTAGTAACTGACCGTCCCCTAAGTATCTGAATGGTTCAGATAACTGAGCCATTGAGTGTAGATCCTCTTGCACTACAGCAGTACCCCAAGCAAGTTTTCACTGTATACTGTGAAAACATTTAAAGACCTTGTACATGTTGTTAGTGATTATATATTAGTCTAAGTAAGGCAAACACATCTGCTTTCCATGTGAGTATTCTAACTTCTGATACTTGCTTTCTTCCAAAGGGACTTGTTTAAATATCACTGCAACGCTGACACTGGGCAATTCTTGTTCCTGATGTGTCAGAAGCTGTGTCACATGTTGGCCAGTGGCGTTCCAATGACAGTACCTGTGGGTCTGAATCTCCCCTCCGAGATACACAACCTTGCATGCCAGGCTGCCACCATCTGCAGTCCAGGTGACAAGATTTATAATCTACATAGTTCTATGTTCTCTGCTTCATTCCATTTTTATCTAGCTAATGCTATCCCCTTACAATTGGACATGTGGAGATATGGAGAGATCATTACCCCCTTTCACAAAGGGACACTTATAATTGAATCTCTGTGGGGATTACTATTTTAAAATATTTCCAAAGTTAGCAGTGTCTTTTTTTTTTTTTATCTTTTCCTTAAACAGAACCCCAGCCCAATCCATTATACACCACTCTTAAATTATTTGCATAGTTTAGAAAAATACTGAATCTACCTCTTGTATTTTCTTACTCTGCACCAGAGAACTACTTAAGATCATGAGACCACTTCTCTTTTCTAGTCACACATTTTTTGGCTTTAATTTGCACTCTTTTGAAACAGGGGGTCTCAAACATGGCATCTCTGGACATTGTCCAGAGTAACAATTTTTTTTTTTGGCCTCACAGTTTGTGGGATCACCCCTGACCAGGAATGGTACCCGGACCCCCCACAGTGAACACACCTAATCCTGACCACTGGACTGCCAGGAAATTCCCTGAGCAACAATTCAACTTAAAGCAGCATTATTTTAAGCCCTTGACCAGAAGAAACAAACTTTATAGTCTGGCTGAAATTACATTTGGCTCTAATAGATCTGATTCTGGATTCTACTCAGTGAAGAGGGTATCTGTGTCCCACAGTGTCCTTATCTATGTGTTTTCTGTACTCTTTGATATTTAGACTTCTTTCGGAACTCATAAGGATCCATATGAGGAGTGGTCTTACTGTGACTTCTTCAGTGAAGATGGAATAGTTCTCGAGTCACAGATGGTGCTCCCTGTCATCTATGAATTGATTTCATCACTTGTACCTCTGGCTGGTAAATCTCATCTGTGTAATATCTTTTTCCTGTGTATTTCTGGGTTTGGAACTGGAGCTACACACAGTAACATGGATGAATCAATTGTAGGCATGAGTGCATGTATGCTAAGTTGTTTCAGTTGTATCCGACTCTATGTGACTCTATGGACAATAGCCTGCCAGCCTCCTCTGTCCATGGGATTCTCCAAGCAAGAATGGTGGAGTGGGTTGCCATGCCCTTCTCCATATTGTAGGCATACTGCTGAGCAAATGAAGCAAGGAATAAAAATACATATTGTATGATTTCATTTACATAAAAAACAAGCTATAAGGAGGCCATGCTGTTGGAAATGAGGATAGTGGTTACTCTTGGGGGGTTGACCAGAAGGAGACAAGGGGGTGACTTCTGGGAGCTCATAGTGTTCTGTTTCTTGGGCTGGATGTACACTTTTCTGTGTATTTGTCTGTATGTATACCTGCGTTTTTTAAGTAGCAGATTGCTTTAGAACGTTATTGGATAAGGGCACAATATTAAAGTATCCTTGGGACTTTGTGTTCTATAAAAGAGTTATTGGGTTTATTCTCTTTTCTAGAAAGCAAGAGATATCCCTTGGATTCTACAAGCTTACCATACTGCTTCACCAGTGAAGGTATTTGGCATCAGACACGTATAACCACTGTGTTTCAATTTTGTAAATTTGCCAGTACAGAAAGTTCTTGAAATCCTGAATATGAACCTGATACAATGTCCTTAGTGTAGTTTCTTTGTTACTACTGTTACACTGTTACTCTTCCAAACAGTCAGGAGAGTGGGTCATTTGGCTTATCTAGTGTTAACTTTTATGAATCTGTTCTACATTTTGGTCTTCCAAGTGGAGAAGTGGTTTTCTTCAACTCATGACTTAGCGCATCTCAGAATAAGCAAGTTAAAATCAAAGTACGTCCATCACCATGTACTTAGCTATTTTCCGGTTTCAATCAGGCCTCTTGTTAACTCTCATTTACTAACTTTGAGAACCAATTCTATGACTATTATGTGCATTGAAGAAGTAGACTGCCCCTGAAAACAGTTTCCAAATATGATCTTTGTTTATTTAAAAAAAATTCTAAAGATTAAAATATTTTTATTCAAGTAAAATTGTTTTTCATCATTTCACAGGAGACAGCTTGATGGTACCTGTTATCGATTCCATCTCTGCCTTGCTTCAGAACCTTCAGGAATCTAGCCAGTGGGAACTGGCCCTAAAATTTGTGGTTGGTTCCTTTGGTACCTGCCTTCAGCACTCTATGTCAAGCTTCATGAATGCCAGTTTGAGCGAAAAGGTATTATTTTAAGAACAAATACTTTCAGTTTGCAAGAATATAGATACAAAAGCACTGTTACAGGAATTGGGGGCCCACGTTTCCCCATTTGGCTTTGTAGTAAGGAAATGGATTATTTGCCAGGTTTAGGAAACATCTGTTGAACATCTACAAAAATGCTTACATTTTATCGGAAATTGTCCATCTGCTCTTTGTTTTTACTGTGGCCCAAACTATTATAATTATTACCTGAGAACATTATGAAAAGACTCTAGAAGACAAGCTATCTATTGATATCTTGCTTATGAAGCTGGTCTCAGAAGGAACTGCATTTATTTCTACTACTCTATTGATATTTACTAAATGCCAGTTTTTCTTTTTTTGAAAAAACAACTTTATTGAAGTATAGCTTTCAAAATTAAAATGCACATATTTTAAGTATGTCAACCAATGTATTTTCACCTTGCCGCCAACACTATAATCAAGGTACAGAGTATTTTAAAAGGCTCTATTTTTGTCCTTTCCCAGTTAATTCCCCTTCACATCCCCTTCACATCTATAATTTCTGTCATTATAGATTAAATGACAGTGCTGTTCACATATCATGGTGAATTTTCGAAGTTCCCTTAATATTTAAGAAGAGTTTTCAAAGTGCTCATAGAAATAGACCTGAGGATTCTTTTCTTTTTTTTAGAAGTTGTTTGAAGACGCCCCATTAGTTAAATCCAGGCATGTTGTTATGGAATTGAAAGAGAAAGCTGTTATGTTTATCAGGGGAAATGCCACCACGCTCTTGTACAAAGTGAGTATTTGTGCCGAGCTCTTCTCCCTCTCCACTGTCCTCACCCTGGTTGCTTTTGAAGGTAAGGGTACTCTATCACATAGAACTTGTTAGAGTTGCTTTCCTTAAATTTGTAATAGTGATAAAAGACATGAAACCTAAGCAGCAAGTTGGAACTATTTTACTATAAATAACTTCTTGTGCAACGCTTGTTCTTTCTTAGAGTCTAAAATTAAATTTAATGGCAAATCAGCCTTTAGAGACCGAGTTCTGTTTTAATTGTGAGGAACTTGCTTCTCCAGGTGCTTTCTCCCTACAGGTATTTAATTGTCGCCTGGTGGATCTCGACTTGGCATTGGGGTACTGCACTCTCTTACCACAAAAAGAAGTCTTTGAGAATCTCTGGAAACTCACAGATAAAGCATGGCAGAATTACGACAAAATATTGGTATGACCTAAGGAGGCACACCTTCAGTTCCTGAAGAATTAAAGATTTAGCGAAAGAAATAAAACTGGCCTTGCCACCAGTTTTTCAAGATTTAGCAGAAGCATCATCAAGCTAACTCACATGGTTTCTCCCAGCTTTTCCTTAATGAGCAACACTCCAGAGATTGCAAATGCAGGTTCTAAGCATTGCTCAACCCAGGGAATTGTATTTTTTTATTTCTTAAATCTGTATGCAGCCACAGAACCTCACTGCCTATACTTACTCTAGTGTATTTGAAACCTTAGATTCACGGGCCAGTTCTTTTTCATAGGACAAGTTTAATGGATGCAGAACTTGTCTTTAATGTTTGTTTTAAAATTTTCCCTTTGTGGGGATTTTACTTGTAGGATAGCTCAAATTGGGCCTTTTCTTATGAAAGAAACCCAGACTAAATTTATGGCATCACACTAAAAGCCAAATTACCAAAGTAATTATTACCTAAGTGTAAGTAATGATGGTTTACAAAGCAACATGAAACATTCCAACTGTCACCATAAGGAAAGACTGAAAATTATGGTTTTTATTGTTGAGTTTTGCATAAAAAGTATTAAAACAGTCTCTATTTGCAACCTAATTTTAATTCTATTTTAACTTTTTAGGCAATATCTCTGGTGGGCTCTCAGCTGGCCAGTCTCTGTCAGGAAATAGAAACGAAGTTTAAGTTCTGTGAACTCAGTACTGATGCCTGGTGGGGTATTCGCCTTAGTAAACTTGGTGTGAGTATTCTTCAAGTGCTGTGAAGTTTCATCTATTCTGATAATTACCCAGTTGAAAAATGTAAAACAAAGGGCTCATTGTCCTTTCCTTTTGGAGAGGTTGCTCATGCTCATGCTCAGTGACTTCAGTCGTGTCCACATCTTTCGCAACCCCATGGACTGTAGCCCACCAGACTCCTCTCCTCTGTCCATGGGATTTTCCCAGCAAGAATACTGGAGTGGGTTGCCCTGCCCTCCTCCAGGGGATTGAGCCCACGTCTCCTACTTTGCAGGCAGATTTTTTACCAGTGAGCCACCAGGGAAGCCCTTTGGAGAGTTATATGTAAATATAAACTGTGGCACAGAAGTTTTAGGTATATGAAGTACCCACATTTTCAATCTCAAAGAAATAAGGACCTTTTGCCTCATTTTCGTTTTGCTCTATTTTTAAGTAAATTAGAAGCTTGATATTTCATCCACTAAGCCTTCTCATTAGGAATGTATCTAGTATTAATTGACATTTAAAGCTATTCCAGGCCTGCCCTTTAACCTCATACTTTTTTGTGTGTTAGTAGGTTAAAGATAATATATGTAAATGTAAATACAGGTATACTAAGCTTCAGCAACTCCTCCCAGGGAGCAGTAAGTGGCCCTTGTTTTTCAATTTACGAGAGCAAAATCCTGTTTTCTTTACTGTGAATGAAAGCATTTTATTTTATTTGCAAATAGTTGACTTATCAGGAATGGAACCACTGTAGAATATATTTTGAATATGTATTTTGAAGCCTCATTCCTATTCCAGAATATTCATTGCTAACTGCCATACTTTAGTGATGAAGCGCCAGGGATTAGTATGACTGAGAGATTTTGGACCTGAAATTTCAGAGTGATGTTCAGCTTGAGTAATGTAAAAGTTGAAGGAGCTGTAGAAAAATGTTTCTCTATAAAAGTGGACAGTGAAAGGGCATGACATGATGGTACCCTTATTCTGATACATTTCAGTTTAGCAGGTTTTTTCTTTTGCTCTTTTTATTTCTAGATTTCTTTCCAGCCAGTTTTCAGGCAACATTTTCTCACCAAGAAAGACCTCATCAAAGCTCTCGTGAAGAATATAGATATGGACACAAGCGTCATTCTGGATTATTGCAGGTAATTCTTTAAATCTCAGTAGTATTTTTGCTGTTAGCGTAACAAACTGGTAATCCTAATGAGAGAACACAGTGATTAACAATGATTATTACATATGACCCATGACCTCTGGTGTTTTCTTTTGCTCAGCCCCACACTGAGTAAATCCAAACCAGATTAAATTCTCTTCTATATCACCTTTTAAACTCACTGTTAAGTGTTTTCCCAGCTTGCCTCACGATAAGCATCACCTAGGGCCCTTGGTTACAAATACAGATTCCTGGTTTCCACTGTTGGTTCTGATTCGGCAGATCTGGGCTGAGGCCCAGGAATCTGGGTTGTTCCAGAATCCAGACCATTTACATGATCAGAGAAGCTCAGGATGTTCTTCCAAACAAGTAAATTTCTGTATCAGATCAACTTAGGGGCTCAAAGCAATCTTAAATTAAAATTGGTGGAAAGTATGATTTAGGGAGAATTTTTTTTTTAAATAACTTTTAAAAAAATCTAAGACTAAATGTTATTTATAGATACAGCTTAGTGTAGCGAGAACAATCAAACAATTTATAATTTACATCTTAGTTGTATCTGCCTGATAAATTTAGGTATTAAATCTGCTGATCCATTATTAGTTTCAAAGTGGTTTTCCACACATCACCTCATTTCATTTTTATTGTATATTATCACCAATTTACATATGAGTGAACATACCCCATCAGGTGCCCTGCTCAAAATCAGATAATAAGTGATCATTTCTAAAATACCGTGGATGCCGTAACCCTCACCCAGTTTGTGACAGATGAGTAGAATCTTGAGTTCTTGATAATGAGACTGCTGAGTGCCCTTCCTCACCAGACAGGGATCTAGTTCGTTGTCTTTGTGAATGGTGGGGAGTATTGTCCCTGGCTGTTACCATCCTGGACTTGCAAGTCAGGAACTGGAGGCTACTCATAGCTCTAAGTAGCTCTGACTTACCTGTATTTCAGTGTAACAAAACTCTGCCATTCTTCAGTTTGGACTGCTGCAAAGCCAGAATGAGGTACACACACTCCCTTTTCTTTTTTAATTTAAACTGGTAGATTTTTGCCTGTTGTTTTCTGGTATTGACCTCTTTTGTGAAATTTAAAGAGCTCTAATTTTGTCAGGCTCATTTCACCATCTTTATGCTCACATGGTGTTGGTGATTTTTCTTTGGTTGTCAGTGACTCTTTTGCCTCAGGCAGTCCCACTGAATAAATTTAGATGACCTTTAGAATTTCAGGAAATGACTTTAAAATTGTGATGTGTAAACCTGAGTTTTCTGTGAGAAGCTCTGTCTAGAAAGGCACGCGTTCTGGGAGATTCATGTGTAACGGAATGCTCATTTCAGCACGTTTCAGCTGGATGCTGATGCGGCCCTTCAGCTGTTCATTGAAACACTCCTCCACAACACGAATTCCAGCCAGAGCCAGGGAGACGTGAGCACAGGACCCACAAAGCAGCAGCGTTCCAAACTCCTGGCCAAAGCCCTCGAAATGGTTCCTTTACTGACGAGCACAAAAGATTTGGTCATCAGTCTTAGTGGAATACTGCATAAGGTAGATGAATGGCGAAATGAATGCGTCGGGGTCATTTCTAACATCCTTCCTACCCTTAACTGATCAGATATATGGTAACAAATTGGAAAAGTAACTCCTATATTTTTTTGTAAAGTATTTTCAGAAAATTTTAGATTTCTGTATTCCTAATTATAGTTTAATATAGCACTTTTCCTGTCTTTTTTCCCCCCCAAAATAAAAATAGCCCTTTTTTTCCAGACTTTTAAAAATAGCACACATTCTTTGAAAAAGATCAAACTACAGAGAAACGTATAAATCAAAAAGTAAATTTCCCTATAATCCTACTCCTATAGATAAAAAGTTAATAATTCGGTAGATAACGTAGATCTTAGACTAAATATCAGTTCAGTTCACTTCAGTTCAGTCGCTCAGTCGTGTCTGACTCTTTGCGACCCCCTGAATTGCAGCACACCAGGCCTCCCTGTCCATCTCCAACTCCCGGAGTCTACTCAAACTCATGTCCATTGAGTCGGTGATGCCATCCAACCATCTCATCCTCTGTCATTCCCTTCTCCTCCTGCCCCCAATCCCTCCCAGCAGCAGGGTCTTTTCCATTGAGTCAACTCTTCACATGAGATGGCCAAAGTATTGGAGTTTCAGCTTCAGCATCAGTCCTTCCAATGAACACCCAGGACTGATCTCCTTTAGGATGGACTGGTTGGATCTCCTTGCAGTTTGGACTCTTCAAGAGTCTTCTCCAACACCATAGTTCAAAAGCATCAATTCTTCGGCGCTCAGCTTCCTTTACAGTCCAACTCTCACATCCATACATGACCACTGGAAAAACCATAG